CACTACACTACACTACATTACATTACACCACACTACACTCCACTACATTACATTACACTACACTACGCTTCACAACACTACAATTACAACTACACAACTACACTCCACTACACTCCACTACACTAAATTACACTACACTACACTACGTTACCCTACACTACACTCCACTACACTACACTACACTCCACTACACTACACTACATTACGCTACACTACCTTCCACTACAGTTCACTACATTACACTACACTACACTCCACTACACTACAACTACAACTACACTACACTACATTACACTACACTACAATACACTGAAGGACACTGCACCACAGATAGACAGGTAGACAGATAGACAGATAGACAGATAGACAGATAGACAGATAGACAGATAGACAGGTAGACAGATAGACAGATAGACAGATAGATAGATAGATAGATAGATAGATAGAGAGATAGATAGACAAGATAGATAGATAGATCGATAGATAGATAGATACATAGAAAATAGATAGGTAGGTAGGTAGATAGTCAGAGAAAGAGATAGAAAGAGTGAGAGAGAGCAAGCACCTTTCAGTTCATCAGTGGCTTCGCTCTGCCATCCCTGATTCACAACAACCAACCTCTCCTATAGGTTTCCTATTTTTGAAACTTCCGCCACCGCCTTGTGCGGTACTACTGGTAATGATGATGATAATGGACGAGGACGATGATAATGAATGATGAACACAATCGTATTCATGATAATACCAGTAGTACCGCACAAGGCGGTGGCGGAAGTTTCAAAAATAGGAAACCTATAGGAAGGGTTGGTTGTTGTGACTCACGGATTGCAGAGCGAGTCCACTGATGGACCGAAAGGTGGTTGGAGCTGTGCTTTTTGGAGTGGTTGCAATGGTTGCAGCGGTCACCTCACTCACAACCCCTGGATGTAGTGTGGTGTAGTGCAGCAGTTGTAGTTGTAGTTGTAGTTGTAGCTGTAGTTGTAGTTGTAGTTGTAGTGGTGTTGATGTTGTTGAAGTTGTTGAAGTTGTAATGTTATAGTTGTGGTTGTAGTCGTAGTTGTAGTGTAGTTGAAGCGTAGTTGAAGCTGTAATTGTCTTAATTGTAGTAATTGTGTAACGCAGTAGTTGTAGTTGTAGTTGTAGGTGTAGTTGTAGTTGTAGTGTAGTGGAGTTGAAGTTGGAAGTTGTAGTTGTAATGTAGTGTAATGAGTGTAGTGCAGTTGCAGTCGCAGTTGCAGTTGTGGTGTAATTAGTGTAGTGTATTGTAGTGTACTGTGGTGTTGTGTACTGTAGCGTGGTATAGTGTAGTGTGGTCTAGTGTATCATAGTGCAAACTAGTGTAGTTGTAGTTGTAGTGTAATGTCGTGTAGTGCAATGTAGTGGTAGTTGCAGTTGTAGTGTAATGTAATGTAATTAGTGTAGTGTAGCGTTGTGTAATGTGGTGTTGTTCTAGTTGTATTTGTATTTGTAGCTGTAATGCAATGCAATTTAACTAGTGCATTGTAGTGTCAGGTAGTGTAGCTGTCATTGTAGTTGTAGCTGTGGTGGTGGTGGTGGTTGTCGTCGTCGTCGTAATAGTAGTAGTAGTAGGAGTAGTAGTAGTAGTAGTGGTAGTAGTGGTAGTAGCAGTAGTAGCAGTAGTAGTGTAGTAGTAGTAGTAGTAGTAGTAGTAGTAGTAGTAGTAGTAGTAGTACCAGTAGTAGTAGTAGTAGTAGTAGTAGTAGTAGTAGTAGTGGTGTAGTGTAGTGGTACTTGTAGTTGCAGTTGCAGTTGAAGTTGTCTATCTATCTATCTATCTATGTATCTATCTATCTATCTGTCTATCTATCTGCAAGCTTGAAAACGAAGCTATTCTGCGAGACGTCCTCAGGTTTTGAACTTGACAACATCAAAAACGCAGCAATTCTGCGAGATTTCCTCAATGTTTGAACTTGACAACGTCAAAAACGAAGGATTTCTGCGAGGCTTCCTCAATTTTTCGAGTTGACAACATCAAAAACGAAGCAATTCTGCGAGACTTCCTTCAAAAATGGAAAGTTGAGTGCAGAGCTGACGGCCTCGTACCAATGCGTTTTGCGATTTTTCCACTCCACCTGTCTAAAGTACTGGGCCTGCCACGAAAAAGTGATGCCAGGTCATACGAAGTGTTGCACCTGTCACGCGAAATCATCTCAGCAAACCTGAAGATCTGATGCTCCAAAAAATGCAACCCCTCTCAGGAAATGAGCGCCCTGACCTCCTAACATCTCTCATGAACATGTCTTTTGTACTGCGCCTGCCACAGAAAATGCATCTTTGCAGATCCTCTTCAAAAGTCCCACGCCTGCCATCGTTTTTGGAAATGCAACAAAACCCTCATGTTTTGCTCACTTTTGACAAGATCGACACTCCCTTGCACCTGCCACGCAAAACAACATCTGAACGTCCAAAAGTGTTCCGCACCCCTCAGTTTTTAACACTTGCGACTTGGAAATGTGCTTCGCGCCACAAGGGCGTGCACTTTTCGACATCGCAACTTCCAAAAGTGCTCTGAACCCGTCACGCCACAACGGCGTGCACTTTTTCGACATCTCAACTTCCAAAAGTGCTCTGAACCCGTCAGTTTTTTACACTTTTGACTTCGAAATGTGCTTCGCGCCACAACGGCGTGCACTTTTTCGACATCGCAACTTCTAAAGGCGGACCGACGTTGGTGTGTTTTGTACATTTTGAGTTGGAAATGTGCTTCTTGCACAACGGCGTTTTTCATCTCTCATCTGGCCAGCTGGCTTCGCACCCGCCGCTTTAGCGAGCCTGCTTTTCGATCCTCCGGAGCCACAAATCATTGGAAAAACACAGTGTTTCGCGACTTTCCTACCTTTTCGCGCACCTGGATCTTCTTTCTTCTGAGACGTTCTCTTTTTTGATCTTCTTTTTTCTTCTCTTCTGTCCTCTGACTCTTCCCATCGTTGCGATTCATCTGTCCACACTGTCGGAAGTTTGACTTCTAAACTTCCTTCGGTTATATTGATAACAATGACAGCTTGATGCTGGGCGCTTCATGCCGAGGCGCCGGCGACCCTCCCTCTGCAGCATGAGTGACATCTTGTGTGACGCAGCTGAGCCTCTGGGTTGCACCATGATGCAGAGGCATGGAGAACATCAGCAATGTGACAGGTTCACAAACTGTGCAAACCATGATCAATCCCTCCAAATGGTTCTATTTGTTTGCAGATTTTTGTTGCCGTTCAAGATTGAGAATCACCCGCATTATCTCGCATTACTTTTCAGGAACATTGAAAATCAATGGTTTGGGACAGAAATATCTTCCAAGTAGGGAAAAAAGGAAGTCACCCGTCGGAATTTTGGCATGCATTTTCCTACGGACTCATCGAGCCAGCTGCGAAAACAACTTCTTGGCCTCGGCCTCATAGCGTGCAACGTGCTCAGGGAGTTGGAGATGATGTCGCCTTCGAACGACAAACACGAGAATGTGTCCGAGGACATCAGTGCAAACAGGATCAAGTAGGGCCTATTGGCCTATTGGAATCCGGACTGCTTTTGGTCACCCTCTACCCTTCTCAACCTTTCGCTCAATTTATTTCCGTGTACTTCAAAACCTTCAAAATGGGCTACCCAAAAGGTCATCATGTTGAAAAAAGGAACTCCAGCAGACAGCCAGCAGGAGATGAATGAAGAGACACAGGCACCCCAACTCTGATAGTGGAGCGGTCGCTGAATTTGTACTCGGAGGATTTTCGATTTATGTACACATGTTCGAAATCACACAACCATAAATGTTGCGATGCAGATTGCACACAACCTTATTTATTATAATTATACTATATTATATTCAAAATTATATTATATTACATTTTATTACATTACATTATATTATATGATATTTTATTTTATTAAATTATGTAAAACAAATTTATTTTATTTTATTTTATTTTACATTATATTCTATCACATTATATTATATTAAATTATTTTTTTACATTATATATATAGATATTATAATATTATATTATATATATATTATTTTATTGTATTAGAATATTATATTATATTATATTATATTATATTATGTTACATTTTTATTGAAATTATCTTTATATTATATTATATTACATTATATTACATTACATTTTATTTCAAATATATATTATATTGTATTATATTACATATTTTTTGATATTATATTATATTATATATTTTTTAAATTATATCATATTATATTATATTATATGATATGATATTATATGATATTATAATATATTAAATTAAATTATATTATATTACATTACATTATATATACAGTATTATATACTGCAAAGTACACAATGGGATAGTTCCAAGTGCACAGCCCGCCACCTCACGAAGTGCAACGGGGACGCTCGAAGGCAAAGGTCTTTTCCAAGACCACCGGCGCAGTCGCTTCGGCTTAAGCACCCTCCCTATGAGGAAATGGGGAAATTGGGCCGTAAATTGGCCAGGTTGTGAAAAAGAATCTCTGAAATGCACAGATGGACATGTTGCATGGATGTGCAACTCACATATACAGATACATATATATATATATATTTATTATATCATACTTTTAAATATTATATTGAAATTATATTATATTATATTATGGTATATTATATTATATTGTATTGTATTATATTATATTATATTCTATTATATTATATTGTACTATATTATATTATATTAAGTTATGTTATATTATACTATATTATATTCAATTAAATTAAATTCTATTATGTTAAATTATATTATATTATATTATATTATATTATATTAATTTAAATTCAATTATATTATATTATATTATACTGTATTATAATATATTATATTATATTTTATTATATTATATTAAATTATATCATATTATGTCATATTATATTATAATATAATATCTTATACACATGTATGTATGCATTGGATACACATATTGTATCTGTAATCATAGAGAGGAACATGAGGGGAGGAACCTCGAAGATCCCCGTCAGGCCATGTTCAATTCCCTTGAGTCTTTGGCTGAGGCGTGTAGCAGCATTGACGTTTCCATTGTTTCATCTTAGATTGGTCACTCTTGCTGTTTGAGACGGGCTCATGGATTTATTTTGGCCTCTGCATATTTTGGTTTCAAGGGAAACTGAATTTGGATGCTTCCGAATTGTGCTTGTGGAGCTCAACACTGCGAGAGAAGTGAATGCAGAGCTGGTTTCCCTCGCTCAAGATCACAACGCCTTGAGGCTGCATCGAAATTGATCCTAGCTGGACAAGTGGAGGAGGTCCGGATCTTCCCAAAGTTCAGTGGGGTGAACTGAGGGATGTTTAGTTCATCAGCACCTTTGAGGCACTGCAGATACTCGAACAGGCCTTCACCTCTGTGGAGGCTGAGGAAGACGTGGAGGCAAACATGCTGGGGGGGTTTTAGTGGGGTCCTGTTCAAACATCACCCAACCATCCAGGAGTTAATTTGAATTCACCACTGAAATGTGATGTTGTAGTCATTAAAGGGGGGACCTACCAGCCCCTGGCCCATCTGTCTCTCAGACGTTTTTTTGTTGATAGAGATTGTGGTGCTGCTAGCATGAAGGGCTGGCCAAGCTATTGATAAAGCTTCAAGAGCTCTCCTGCGAAGCGCTTCCCTGGCCAGATAGCCTTGGCTGGTGTTGGAGTGCAGATTCTCCTATGTGCCGGCTTGTCGCAGGCTTTTTTCCTGGGATTTCTGAAGCGAGACTGTAATGTCATGAACAAGTACGTGTTGGGAACACAAGCTACGCCGAAGCCATGAGAGCTGAGCTGGGCATGAAGCTTCCAGCTGCTGGTCGTTTGTTTGTGGCAGCCTGTACAGGCAAAAAGACACGAGGAAGCCCTGGAAATTGCCCAACATGCAGTGCAGAGTGCAGACGCTGTCCTAGAGCAGCTGGAGGCCATGGCATTACTTACATTGTTTGGAGTGGTGACTTGTTTTTACCTCGACTTTCCCTAGCCTCCTGATTCAATGTCCGAATGAGCAGCCACTGGTTGTCTGACCCGAGAGCACCTGGAATCCTGTGGAGATTTCCTCAGCTTTTCCAAGGAGCCTGGTGAAGAGATAGCCGATGCTGCTGAAGTGAAAGGTTCCGAGGATTTGGAGGCAGGGACTCATTTCAACGGCACGCAGCTGATTTGCATGCTTGAGCCAACTTGAGCCAACTTGAGCCCAAGCTTTTCTTCAGCATTTTTTTAAAACAAATACTTGAATTGAAACATGGCTTTCGTTCCGTTATGCGCACCGAACCTCAAAGAAGCAATGCTTTTCCAGTAAAGTGTGAACATGAATCAAACATGCTGCGCTTTGTTGGCAGAGGCTCCAGCCGAAGAGCCAGCGACACCGTTGGCGCCGGCACCTCCACACGTTCCCATGGCCCTGCTGCAGCGAGCTCTGGAGTCAGCAGCCAGGGGTCCAAGTGAGTCCAAGCTGTTCACAGTCGGCCTGGGGAGCGAATGGGAGCCACCGGGAACCGCTTGTTGCCCTGCCAGGTTCAATCGAGGCAATGCCAAGCTCTGGAAATGGAATTCCTGGGGCCAAGGCCGGCTGTGTGAGACCATACTTGAACAGCCTTGTGCCACAGAGCCAGATGATCAACGATGTGTCCTATGTGTCCTGTCAGTCACAAGAGGTGGCTTGCAGCCATCCAATTTTTCTACAGGGATAGCTTTGCGCACTTTGTAAAAATAGCATGCCGAAGAGGTGCAAGGAGATTGGCCTGGACTTCTGGCAAAAGCTGATGGGGCTGCAAGATGAATGTCTTGAACTGGTACCTTGACACTGAACAGTTCGAAGGCCTATTTGCCTCAGTTTTGTTCTTTAATATTTGGCAGTGTGTCAAAACCTTGTATCCCTGGTGAACATCAAAATAGCTGGTAAATGGATGTTCATCCCACTAAAAATGGTATTAATAGGTATTGATCCATACCCATTTAATATCAGTAAATATTAGATAGTCTTCATGATTCATGCTTTGAGCGACCCTGATATTGCACTTGGTAAGATAGCTCCATTCGGCATGTGTTTCTGGATTCTAAGGTAGGCTGTTCACGGAATATATCCAAGTGCATGATTGTTTGGACTTTGGACCTGCAAGTTTTGCACTCTTTGCATATTTTGAGTATAGTTTAATTATCCCCATAAAGATAGAAAGGTGCTGCTCCACTATTTTCGTACCTGTCTTCAAGGGCTCCTATTTCTTATTGATTGGGTTTCTTGTTTCCGGTGCCGAGGCCCAAGGTTTGCCGCGCAGCAGCAAGGTGAGGCAAAGAGCCGAGCAGGGCAAGCGCGAATGGCAGGCGAATCATCAGGGCTGCTCCAACCGATAGGTACCAGCGATAGCCACAAGGGAAAAGGGAGGGAACAGTTGTAACTTTTACATGTAAAAACATACCCAACCTGTTTTGCATTTGGGGTGCTGGGAACAACCCTCATTGACTGGTGGATTTCAGGCCCATCTTTTTTTTTGACTAACGGACTAACATCAGAGGGAAGTTGGGAAATAGAATGAGAACTGCTACAGTTTGCAAGGACTTGGCATCTTGAAGGATGTCAAGAGACCTTCCAAAAGTTGACAAAACCTGGAGGTGGCAAAAGCTAGCGGCGCATGCTTTGATTTTCCCCACCTCGTTCCTATGATGTGAAATGTTGGAAATGCCCAAAGTCCCTGGTGGTTGATGGTTTAACGGTTATACATGGTCATATCAATGGTTGAAAAAAAGCTTATACATGCTTATATATATATTAATATAGTTCGTTATAAAAATGGTTCTATGGGGTTCCAATGGATTTCATGACGTCTAGTAGGACTAGTAGGACTCATCCAATGTGGGAACCGCTTGTCCGAAACCGGTCAGTTGCGCGCGGCCGACGCGACCCTGCCGAAGCTCTCGCCAGAACCTCGGTGGGCTAACGTATATCCCGTGGTTTCTTGTCCTTTTCCACACTGAAATCGCCATGATGGGGTATATAAGTATATATATATGATTATATATGAATGTATATGATATATCTAAATATATCTAACGTATATCCCCTATTTTTATCTATTTTGGCACAAATCCACCTGGACACATGAAAGGCTTAGAGTCAGAGATCGAAAGGTGGGGCTTCGGAAAGCAGAACCTTTTCCGGGGCTGCCTGCCAACTTGAGTACTGATTGAATTTCCATGAGGAGATTTAATTGCCAAAAGGCCAATTCCATTTATCAGCAGGCTTCAGGACACCCTCTGACAATTAGTTGGGGTCAACTCTGGCATTGCAAGCCTAGAGAAAAGAAATGGTAATTTGCCAAGTACTTAGCTGCTGTTACTCAGGCCTGGATGCTCAGGAGCGTTGCAGGTGAGACTTGGTCAGGGTTCAAACATGAAAGCTACATGATCAGACCGATGTAGCCAGCAAGGGCGATGTGTATAGTCTGTATAGTGCAGCAAATAACAAGGAACAAATGCTCTTCTCATTCACCAGTGCAGTTGAGCACAGTTTCTTCTGTCGCATCACGGCCGACAATTGAAGGCGTGGCGCTGCATGCTGGGCGCTCCCAGGAAGGCCTATGCGCGCTCCAACGAAGGTCTGCACCTTCCGAGGCATGAGAGACTGTACCAAGGAGAGGGGCACATGGGATGCTGGAAATGTCTGGACATGTCTGGAAATGCTGAAGGCTTTCAGCCTGCTGAAGGCTTTCAGCGGCTTAACGTTTCGTGGATTTTGGTGGACGGGTGCCTCTCGATTCAACTTTCATGCGGAGTCCTAGGATTTGGTCAGCTAGTCGCCTGGCACTGCAGGAATTCCGCCCGTGGTGGATCTCGACTTCGAACGCTGGCGGAGGCACCCCAGCTTCCAGATGGAACCTAGGCCTGGAGTCCGCCGAGGAATTGAGCTCATCCTGTTCCAGGGCATGGCCATATTCAGTCAGATATCAAGAACAATCCCACCGGATTCTTCCATGTTTTGTTGGATTCATGTTTGTCCTCATCCCACAGTAGTCCAATCCTTTGCCTCATTTCCCTCGTGCTGGCAGTACTCCATCTTCCACTTATATGGAGAAGGCCCGTCCTTTTGCCGGTTTTGAAAGGAAGTGGTACTGAGATGTACTGAGCTATGTGGGCTGGTCTGAAAATGGGGTATATATGCCCCCAAACAGTCATTTTCCCAAACGGTCATTTTCATCAAGGAAATGATGATCAATCATTAAAAAATTGCATAGCCCCTTTTTTCACGCAGACCCCTGTACTGGCAATGCTTTCCCAAAGCTCTTCTCTGCAGACAATGTTGTTATCTACGAGTTGATGTCTACGAGGTTGATGTTTGCCACAAAATGCCTACCCGTTGAACAAACAGTTTTTGATTTGCCTGTTTGGCTCCGCCATTTCAACGCAGGGTCTTTCTGTCGATATATCCGATAGACTATTGCTAAGGTTTTGTGTGATGGTTGGATAGAACAAAGAAGTCCTTGTCCTTGTGTTAGTAGCTGATGTGTCTCTTTTTCTGTTGTTTGTCCTGATGTGAATGATGGTTTGTCAGATGTTGCGCCAGTCGTGTTGGAATTTCCAGGCCCGGGGATCCATCTCTGCCGAGCACCTAGAAACTGTCGGGTGAGCTCCCATATCAACTCCTCACGTCATTTGGATGGGTGGATATGGGTGGATAAGATATGAAAAGATTCAAGTCTTCTGAAGTCTTCTGAACATGTTGCGGCTTGGTGCCAGGTTTTTGCACATGGTATGGTAGACTCAGATCAGTCCAAGCCTTGCGACCAAGGCACAAACTCTTGGATCATGGCTGCAGCCCAAGGTCTTTATCAAACACATCAGATTCCAAGCCATACCAATTGTGTACAATCTTAGCATCAAAGCATTGGGACAGACATTCTTTTCCTTGTGCTTCTTTTCGTTGTGCTTTTCTGCAGATGTTTTCCCCTACCTTAAAAAGCATTTTATAATGTTTTATAATTGTACTTCCATGTACTTCCTATAATTGTTATTAATTGTTGAGATAGTGATAAGCCGCCATAGATCACCACTTTGTATACCTTGTGCCCATTTACGACACAACTGGGATGGTGCTTATTGGGCAAAGTCCAGGTCCACAAGCTCCTCGTTGGCTTCCACAGGTGCAATGGGGGATTTTACACCCAAAATGCCATGTCTTCAATGAAGAAACTGCTGGTAAATCATGGGAGAATGGGAGTTTTCCATAGTTTTCCAGTGATTCTCGTACAGAAACCCATGTCCCGCTTCTTTGGTCTGTCTGAGTTTTAGGCTTCATGTCCACTCGAAAGTCAGCTTCTACTGCAGGTATGAAATCCACCAGTAGACACCAGGCAGGGATCGGAGGGATGACTCATTTGGGTTGTGAAAAAGTAGGCATTTCGAATTTCAACGACACCTTTCAGCAGTTCATGCCCCCTTCAACTTTCAAGCTACCATGCAGTTTTAGCTTGGATGTCTCAAAATGCCAATTAGCTTGATGCACGTGATTGACAAGCTTCTTCCTGCTGATCATACTGATTCTTAGCTCCGTGAGCTATTGGACACACTTCCGGTCATACGTAGTCATAGCATGTCATAGCCAGCCAACTTTGCAATGCCTGAAGGTGTGCCACCAAAGTGGGTCAAAGTCATGTGAGCATGTCGAACTCAAGAACTTGGCTCATAGTCTATTTCCAACCAGAAAACTTCAGTGGCTTTCTTCAACCGTCCGAATGATTGCCAATGATCCTATGTTTTTGGATGATTTCCAAGGTTTTTCCACACGGATTCAGCCGTTCCCTGGTCAGTTGCCGCGCGGGGATTTGTACGTCAACACCTCCCCGCGGCGTGGCGAGCTGCCGCGCACGCCCAACTGGACTTCTGCCAGGCGAGAGATGCCATGACACTACTTTCGATCGGAAAGTTGAAAGATTTGGAAGGAAATTCTGGGGAAAACATCATCGAAGTACTAACCGGGAAATACTTCATAATACTTCTATTTGTTTGGGGGTTACAATCGTATTACATAAAAATTATGTATATACTGATATACTTGTATACATATGTACAATGACAATCAAGTCATCCACTACAAAATAGATGTATAAATGAGTTCCACTAAGAAATCACCAGTGATTCTTGATACATGCATATACACTACATACGTTCCAATGAGGGTTCAGGGAATGTGCTGCGTGGGGCCGCACTCTTTCTATACAGGTTTGTCGGAAAATATGGCACCCCATTCGATCTCAGGGTTTCAGAAAATAATTTCCCTCATCATTTGATGGCCGTGTATCTACATAAATCTCCCAGTTTCGCACACAAAAAGCAGATGAAACACAGATAAATATCAGATCAATAGTTGCTAAAATGCAGAAGGTCCATTTTTTCTTGACAAAAAGAACTTAATAGACAAGCAAAGCACCCACTGCAGCTTTTCAGGAGAGTACCGGTGCTCTTCTCCATTCAGGGCACTGAGGGCAAATCTTCCTGGGCCCTGAGGAGATGGCTAGCCTTTTTCAAGGGTTTTTCAACACCTCGTTTGCGAGGGTATCTGGCTGCCTTGTGAAGGACTCTTCGGAAGCGGGATCGTGTGGTCTTTGACGACAAGAAAATGAATGCGTTCGAGGAAAGTCGGAAAGTCTCAGACATTTTTTTACACACAACTGCTGCACTGCTGCGGGAGCGATCACTTGTGTGTCTTTCGCCAGGACTGGCGTAAAAACGGTTCTGGACCAAAGATGCGACTCAGAGACCAGGCTTTAATCTGCGATTGTAGTCAACTAATTCAACTAGCTGTTCCGTTGCTGTTGTGGAGCAATAGCGTCATGCTCTGGACCAACGGGCAGGTTCTGCAGACAGAAAAAGGGATGCAATACTTTCACGACAACTTGAAGAAACAGTTCGAAGCTTAGTGTTGGCCAACCTTGTTATGAATGAGATAGTCGCTTTGGAAACATCACTCAATGCCAGTGTCACGCGCCTGTTGTCATCATTGGGGTTCGTCTGAGAGTAGGATAATCTCCCTAAATCCGCTGGCCAAACATCATTTTCCCACTAAGGTAGCCATAAATTGGGTTAAATCCATGTAAAGCCATCCTTTTCAACGCAGCTGTTGGCCAAGGAGTTATCGTTTCAAGAACTTTTGGCTCAAGGACATGGCCCGCGGCTCAGGGTTCTCCCTTGGGCGGGTGTCCTTTTGGGGCGACCATTTACTGCACCGAGGTGACCCAGGATGATCTCTACGAGGATCGGACCATTTACTGCTCCGAGGCAGGAATGGAGTGGACTGAGTAGACTGCAAGCGCTGCCGCAATAGTTTAAAACAACCAAGGACTTCAAGAATTCTGGCATCATATGTGTGCTTGCTGCTGAATCGATGCAGTCCAACTCAAAAATGGGACAGTCTGCAAGAGTTCCTGTCAGATCAGTCTGTTGTTTTTAATGTCCTTGCAAAACGCAGCATGAGGCAGAAAGACCAAGCGAAAGGTCTTGTCCATCTCAACCAAAAATGATCAAAACTGAATGTTTGGCCAGTGTTCATTAGTGGCTAGGATGAAGGACCTCCCATTCGATCCCAATTGAGAACTGCGACGAAATCCCTGCGTATTGGATCTATTCATTTGGGGGAATAACTGGCAGCCACTGTCTTCCTGTACTCTGCTGGCCAAGCGGACAACACAAGAAAAGTAGATCCTTTAACTTTAAGTGTTTTGACACTTGGTGTTAATGCATAATCGCTAGTCTCAAACTGACAGAGGAGATGTTTGTAGACGTGTTGATACGCATTTTAAATCAAAAAACTCCCAAAATATCAATTGTTGATTTCCAGTGAGCATTTTCATCTCAACATTAGCAGTCCAAGTATCCATTGAAAGGGCATTTCTGCTACGGATAGCTCAATATCAACTCAAAACCAACGCCATAGATGGCCACAAGTCTTTCTTGGGATTCTATTTGTTACATTCTCTGAGTGTTCTGAAGCGCGTGCTTCACGTGCGTCTCAGCGTGCTCCGAGTTCCTGTACGAGTCAAACTTTAAATCCCATGCGCCGCTGGAAGAAACAAACCAGAGTTTTCCAGATGTACAACTACGCCTTTAGAAGAGCGTTCAAGTGCGCGGGATTGGTGTCGCAATTGAACAACCACCAAATATGCCACTAGAATGTTCTAACCGGGAACGAAAAACTTTAGCGTCGAACTACCCAGCATTTTCCCCAGAAAGGATTATGTTGTCCCTGGGCCAAATGGGGTAAGCGTTTCGATGGGAAAAGGATGGAAAGGGCACCAGGGCACCTATCTCTTCGCCAGGGGCTGCGGGTCCTGAAGAAAAATCCGTGAGAGAACCTGGAAGATGGGCTGAGAATTTGGTGCATGACTTCATCAAGACCCTGCAATCATAATCTGTGTTGACTTGATTCGTCTAGAGATCTAGCTATTGCACCTATGGTAGTCTATTCTGAGAGCATTGTTTTTGGCTAACCTCCCATTCTTGATGGTAACAATCTCCATTTTGCCAAACATGTTAGAAATGGGTATGATAGGATGTTGTTTGCAAAACTGGGCTGTTCCTACGCCTTTTTCTCTTTCCCACTGAGGCGTAAGCAGCTGCGACCCAGCTCTCCAATCAATCCCCAGGTGGTTGACAGAATTTGGGAAGTTGGGCGTTGCAGGATTGCGAGTAGGCAAGAAACGTGCACCTTGATCATCTGAGTTCTTGATTTGGAAGCAGCTTTCTTATCTGGTTCGAAGTCTTTGACTTGTAGCAATGGCCAGCAATTGCGTGACTTTTGTGAAGTATCCCCCTATTTGCCGAGTTAGACAAAATCAGCAGCTTTTTCCCTTAGTCGTAGACTATCCTAGACTCCAATGTGCTGGAAGCCTTACAGTAGCTCGATCGTGAATTTCATTTCAGGCCAAGAAGCTCTTCGACCACTACGGGATCTCATGTCTGCTTCCGAGCTGTGCCGAGGAACATCGTGACGAGCCGGTGGTTTTTTTTCTTCAGTGATAGGCTGCGGATGAATCCACATGCCAACGCTTGGCATCGCTTGGCTTCAAGGATTCAAGGGTCACAAAACTGCCACTGCGCCTGGAACATCTGAGGCCCTAGCATTTCGGAGCCATCGACCCTACACTTGCAGGTGTTTGGAGCTCAGGTTGTCCAGCGATCTCTGGTGGGCCGTGTCTCTCTTCGGAATCTTCGGAATAAGGTAGATATATATATATATATATATAATCTGATGTCCAAGATCAAGCTGTAAATCTGCGTTCAACTGTGGAGTAAAGAAATCCCTGACTCAGTACTTTCGAAGTGTTTGGCACCCCCCCAATCCCCCGAAAAGGTGGCAACTTGCCCTCAGATCGAGATCAACATGAAACCCACAATCAACCAATCAAACAACCCATGCAGTTATGAACCGGGTCGGGATTGCTCCAATGAACAAGCTGAGGAATTCGTACTCCGAGTTGCTGCAAAAGTCACAGGCACAGCACATGACATCAGACTTGTACTGCTCTATGGGTCGGGTTATCCATTGACAGCCAATCTCGAAAGAAGCCAAGATGAAAGGAAGAAACACAATCTATACTGGGAAGTTTTAGTGTCATTGGATGATTGGCGTCAGGTTTTCCTCCAACCAGCTCTCCTTTTGGCTTTCATAGCGCTTGATGAAATAACATATTCTTCACATGAATTTCCCTTCATCAGCCTATGGAATCCTTGAATGTACAGCGGTTTGCACCTCTTTTTTAAGTTGCACCAACCAGCGCAAGAGCATAAACCTCGCACCGCCCGCACCGGACCCCAGAACCAAGCCAAACTGGATCGGCTTCCCTGGGACAAGGGCACGATTCTCAGAAGCTGAGTGTTTGAACGCAGTTTGGATCAGCCCTGGATCCTATTGGTTGATTGCAATTTGGGATGGGTCAAGTGTTTCAGAACTTTGGACCCACAGATGGACTGATTGTTTTCCAAAGTATTTCATTGTACCAAAGCGTTTTTAGTTGCACCCACTACAACTGAGTTTGTGACAACAATGAGACTTCTTGACAGATATAACAAATGTGTTCAGTTTCTGGTAGCCTCTCTCCTGGGTTTGTCGCATCCAAACAAGATTGGATCCATCAAAGATGTGACAGCATGCTCCCTGAATTTCGATGCTGAGTGCTTCGCATCCTTCGGGTCCCCATCTGTGTGAACCATGTGAACCACTGAGGCAACAGCAAACGGCGGAGGTTCAGCAACATGGGGCACTTCGATGCCCTCCGGGTGATCCTGCGGAAACATCGCCGCACCGCTGTGTCTGGGCATGGCCTTCCTGGCCTTCCTGTCAAAGCAACCAAATCCTCCTGACTCTCCTGACCGCCCGTGGCATGGGGTCAATGGCTTTGCCGGATTTCTTTTCATGGCTGCACACCGTCATTCTTAACTTTAGCTCCTGACAGATGAATCATGAGTGATTCGGTCACTTTTTGTTGGCAGCGTGACAACGTGTGTTGGTTTCTTGCGTTTGAATAGTTTGAACCGAACCTTGTTGGCGCGACTCAGCCAAGCTGCAGCTAGCTACCCAACTTTCTAATTCGACTGCGGAAGCCAAGCTTCTGTGCAAAGTTGTCGGACCTTTTTGTTTTCTCAATCAAGAGCACTAGACTTCTGAAGGAAGTCCTGAATGGAATACCTCCACCATGCCCCTACAAGGGGGATGAAGCAATTGAAACCAGTTATGGTAACGAAAAAGAGCATTGACATTCCATCACCTTGTCACTGCACCTGAACTTTTGGAAAGAATCCTCCAATGAACTTTTTGCAACATCTTCTTTGATCCACTGTAGTCCACTGCCCAGGTTTCAGGATCCAGAGGTCTTGCCATGTGTGCTGGAAGCCTTTAGCCACGCCACCAAGAATAGCGTGACACCCAGTGTGGCTGGCGACTTTGTTCGTTTTTGCGCCCGGGACCCAGAGAAATCCGGCTTGGAACAGGAGTTGGTTTGAGCTTGATGAAGTTGATGCAACAGCCAGACATCCTGGCAGCCCCTTTTTGCAACACAAGCAAATGAACGAACTCATAGATTTGGAGAAGCTGATGAAGACTTGCCAAGACCCTTCAAAGGTCTTGAACGGCCTGATGCCGACTTGAGAACCAGCTTGAACCCAGTTCTATTTTCAGCTTCAGATTTCCCGTCTGATAATGATCCCAAGAGGCTTTGCCATAGTCAACTCTGGTAGTGCCTCAGGTGGCCTACAGGATTCACTGCTATTTCCAGACGAGCTTGTTGGCGCCCGTCTTGGCAAAGCATGCTTCCCAGCACCAGCCGCAAGTTGCTGTGCTCATTTCAACATCCAGAGTGTAGACCGCGTTTCAAGATGCTAGTAGATCACTGCTTCCATACTCTTGCCCATTTTGGATAGTTGACCCTGGATTCACCGAAGCCTCCATTTTGGACGATGGTGACACGGCCTCAAGGCCTGCAGTGGTCTTCATCCTGGGTGGCCCTGGTGCCGGTCGGATACCCGGAACAGGGAAGGGAATTTACTGCTGGTGATAGTTTCTGGCGCACCATGAAGAAGCACCAGAATCATTTCAACTGATCCTTGGATCTGCACAATTCATTGCAAGGTAGTGGCACAAAGCCAGCTCAAATTAGGCTTGTACTAGTGGTCTAGGTAGTGCAGTCCAGCTTCACAGCATTTGAGGCAAGGGCACGCAATGCGAACGCATTTCCCAGGCTGTGAGATTGCACGGCAGCTGGGAACATCTTCGATATTGGCTTTGACTATCATGTTAATCATGTTATATCATGTTGACATATCCTCAGCTTGCACGCTTCCTCCTGGTATTGATGCGACGCATTGGCAGACCTTCGGCTACCACCATCTCAGTGCTGGAGACCTTCTAAGGGAGGAACGGGGGAAGGGTTGGGAAAGGTTGCTCCATCAGTTGCTGATGCGTTGCCATGTCTATATGATCGAGGTGTCAATGTGCATATTCTCTCAAGGCAAAGTATCTATCTATCGCACCACGGTGCACAATTGAGCGACCACGATTCTGGCTGAGAAGGGTTGACACTTCTTGATTGTTGTGAGTGGCGGCAATGGCCAGCATGGATGTCGCGTCGCGCGACCAAAGGTTAAAGCTGCTTGCTGATTTGCTTGTCAAATCCTGACACGCTGACAGGAGCGCAAAAGAGAAGGCTCTGAGTATGGCCAGCTTATCGAGAGCTACATCAAGGTCGGACACAGTGCGAATTTGTTGCAGTCTCTCTCTCTCTCTCAACAAAAAACACCCAGAAGACTGCTGGTAGTTTTGTTGAAAAGGCTGTCCTGGTCTGAAGAAATCCAGCGAATACAAAAACAATAGAACATTACTTTCAATAGACTTGTACTAGAGGCCAGTTGTAGTTAGTTATAGATGGGGCTCATACATGCTAACACTAAAAAAATAAGGGTATTCTTCCAATAAACCTGTAGTAGCAGCCAGTTTTGGCCCCATCAAACTGGCTTCCAGGAGGGCAAACTGGTTCCAGTCGAAATCGTTGTGAATCTCTTGAAGCAAGCCATGGAGAAACGTGGCTGGGCGCAGGCGTGACTCTAGGAACCAGAGATTGAAACCCAACAGTCGCTGCTTTTTGGAATACTGAGTTTCCCAGGTTGCCAGAGTCAAACTTAGGGAAGACCCAGGGATCTAGTCCAGATTTCTGCCCACATTTCCGACAATTTGAGTAGTCATAAGCCTGTTGTTTGTTTGGTGATTGCCTAAAACTGATGTTTTCTTTTAAATCCTGGCTCTCATTTGAAAGCACGGTTTGGCACCAGATCAGCTGTCAGGGGAAGTTTCTGGTAGATGGCTTTCCGCGCAGCTTTGAGAATATGGAGGGCTGGAAGAAAGTCCTTGGAGGCTCTGGCTCTCAACGTGGGTATGGTATGGGTATGGGTCCAAACAAGGCAATGTGGGTTTATGATGGTTTATGAACATCCCAAGATAGATCACTCTGTTCAAATGTGGTATGTGAGTGTATATATCAGTGTCTTGACCCATCAATGGCTGATCAGTGATCGATCTGCCCAGACTCCTGGCTGTTTTCAGGTAAGGTGGATGTGAAGTTTGCCCTATTTTTCAACTGCTCCGAGACTGTCATGGAGGTGCTCTGAGTGCTTCGTGCAGTGGTTTTCCGGACTCAAGAGTGATGCTAGTTGATGAACGACGCAAATTCGGGGTCTATTTTCCGTCATTCCTTTGGATCCACTCTTTGTAGGCCCGAATACTGGAGCGTGGCAAGACGAGTGGCAGGGCGGATGACAATCCTGAAGCCATTCGAAAGCGTTTGGCCACTTTCAAGGAGGTGCCACGGGGCTGGTGAAGATGGTGCTCACGGGCTGAAGGCCTCAATTTTCCGGATCAGGAAGTACCAACTTCCGTGTCCAGGAGGATATGAGTGTGGAATCAGTGTATTATAATCATCATTGTAGAAACACCTAGATCTAGTATGATCTAGTTCTAGATTACACAACATCAGGTTTAAGATTTTGAACACCATATCTTTCCATCTTTCACAACCTGCGGCGCTTTTGGCTCAAACGGTCCTGGGAACCCAGAACGCTCACCTCCAAGAGTTGGGTGCCCTTTGTGGCAGAGCAACTCAACTGCCAACATGATCCATTGCGGTGGATTCTCCATTGGATCCCAGCCAATATAATCAATGGCCCCTAGAAACATCATGAAACATCTAGAAACCATGATTTAGCAGTGCATCTATTCATTTGGGGTTCACTCATGGGAAACCATGAACTTGGCACTGCGTTGAAAACCCTGAGGTCGCCCACAGCCGAAGGCGGTGTCGACAGGGGGGCAGCGTCCGGTGGGTCTGAGCGACGCCAATGGGCGGCTGTTGCTGTTGCGCCAGCAAGGAGGACGTGGGAGTTACATCTCCAGCATGGTGGCCATGGCGGCCATGGCAGTCATGGCGATGTGTTGCGAGTATTTGCGAGTTGGATAACTTTGGATAACCCTAAAATTGAGCTTAAATGGACAGAACACATGATATATATATACCTACATATGTTATATGTATGTATATGTTATATGTATATTTAATATATTGAGTGCCGCAATGGTTTCATTGAAGGTTCTCTTTCTCGCTTCGCCGACCATTGCAGCGTCGCTGTGAGTGGCAGGATGATGAGAAATCAAAAGAGAAGTTTAGCAAGGCAATCGTGCAGTCCATGGGCGCTGCTGGTGTTGGTCTGATAATAGGGTAAATGTAACTGCTAAAGGGGTCTAACAGTCTAACAACGACTCAACATGGCACCAAACGCTGAGCGCACACCTTTTCACACCTGGCACACACACACCCCTCCGTCTTGATCCAGCAGCAAACGGAAGACAACCATTCTGGTAAGTAAATCAAGTAGACTGCATGGTGCTGTCCTTGGCAAGATCATTGGAATCACAGTAAACCAAATCCAGTGGTTGCTGCAATCATTATACAATATATGTACACATATATATATATATATTTCCCAATTATTTCAATGGCAAACTTGTCATTATACCCCATTTTGATGTGCTTCCAGGCTGTGTGTTGGGAGTTATTCAGCTTGTACCTCTCACTGGTGTTTCCGGCGTGTCATGTGCACCCATGTGGCCAGGGCTCGGGAAAAGATATCTCTGGCGGTCCAGTGAAGAACCGCCACTGCACTGACTTGATTTGCCTTATCATCTTCATACTGCTGGGAAGCCTCAGATGGACCTGGCATGAGCGGGCAGAGTTGTTGGACACTGGAAGTAGAAAGGATAGCTTGAAAGAGGACGAGCTTTGGATTCTAGATTGTAGTTCATTTTAATAGAATCAATAGAATGGAGAAACAAACACACATCTTCAAAACATTTAAACACATCTGAACACCGAGACTCTGGCATCCACTGCACCGTGAGGCATTGGGGAGCCTTCGCTGCCATCATTTTCGCTGGCCTGAAGGACGGCGAGCCGGCGAAGCTGTACTTGCCGTGACGTGGATGCGATGACGACCATTGGACCATTGGACCATTGGAAAGCTCCAATCGATGCAGATCCCAGATGGTAAATGGATGTAAATGGCTTGTTTCTTGCAGGGAAAATGAGGGCTTTGGATGTGCCCCAAGCTTTAGAACTTTAGACATCCCCAAATCAGGCAGTCTCCGATTTGCTCCAAGGCGAGATTTCAAGGGCGACTACTGTGACCTTGAGCCCCTGGTGGGAGCAAAACAGCTTCTCAGGACAATCGAGGGAGTTGCACAGGTGTCATTTTTTCGAAGGGAGAGAAGTTTTGCAACTTTCTTGTCACAACTTCTGGAAGAAATGATTGAAATGATCTAAGTGACGCTGGAGGACACTCAATGTCACAGCTACTGTGGACGAGGTCGCGAAACAGCTGATCTGTTCCACAGCAGTCTGGGCCTCTGGACCTCTGTGGGACTGTGGCTGTTAGCTGCACCAATTCAGTCAGATCCGTCAGCCCAGGGAGAAAACGCCTTGTCTGGAATTCCAGTCACCACAGTGACTCGGCGAATCATTGGAATTGTCGAAAAGTTCTGTTGCCGATGAATTCCTTAATGGGAGAATTTTATAGAACTGTGAAAGAGCCTGCGACCAGTTGATGAACTTGCAGAACAAATCTCACTTTCACTTCTGCGGGAGTCCAGATTTTGGTGATGCATCGTGGGAGCCTCCAGGAACAGATGGCAGAGTACCAGTGTGCTTGTTGCAAAGTACCTTGTGCTGCCTGCGAAAGCAACTTTGAACTGGAAGACTTGAATGAGACTTGGAGCAACGAACCATGTGGACCAGCACCCGGGGGTTTGTCTCATTCCCAGATTTTTTAAAGACCACAGTGACCACAGCAAGTCGAAGTAGGCAACCCAATCCTGCTGATCTCACCTGTGTCGCTGTAAGGACCCAGCAACAGCTGCTTCATCAATAAATTCCAGGACTGCTGAAGAAAAATTGAACTCAACCTGTTTGAGAAGTTGACGTCATGTGATCGGACTGCGTGCGTACCACTTGATTTCTGGCTCCTGTTTTGGTGTCAGAGGGTCAGCCACCAGGATGTCTGAGCTAACAGACCCTTCGAAAGCGATGCAGTTCTATTCCAGCGGCAGTGCAAACTCCGCTTCTTTCGGCCCTGAAAACGTCTTCAATGCCACTTGGTGTTTGATGCGTTTGATGCTGATGCCAACAGCAGTTTTTTTTTGTCAAGATTGAACTGAGATCCTGACCTCGGTCATTGCTGCCATTGCCTGGCCCAAGGAGATGACAAAGTTCATGGTGCCCGTGTGCTTGAGTCAGAGTTCTTGTGCAGCGCCGGAAGTGAACACTTCAACTGCAGGAATGGCGTGGGAGTGTGGAATGTTCGACCAGACTGAGTAGAATCACCAACGTTGTTTCTGAAGGTCCCTACCAATTGAGCCAATTGAGCCTACAGTTTCTTCTCAAAGACCTTATCGCTTGATTTGGACGTTATTTGACTTGGCAAAAGCACCAACTGCTTGGCAGCTGAAGTCGTCTGTCTGGTGTACTGTTAGGGTGCGACAACTCAAAGCTTGAACTCCAAACACGTAAGGGCTTCCTGTGTCATTCAAATGGTAATGGATCAAAAACATTCAAAAACTATAGTTGCCATTGGGAGATGAACGTCGACAACTACCAGCTATATTTGGGTTAGGAGCACTACCTCTCGTTTTTTGGGAGCAGTGTTTCGTTGCGGTGCAGGATTGAGAAGCTACGTGTACTCACCAACTCCAAACCAGCCCTGGAAATTTGCATGGGACATCCTGGCGACCAATGCTGCGGTGCCACAGCAGATCAAGGATACCATCGCCAACGATTTCACCTTCATGGCCATGTCCGTGGAGGTCAGGGAGCAACCCGACCTCAGTGCTTCACTGAAAAACAGCTACAATTGGAGAAAGGGTTGAGTTATATATATATACACATACATTAATCCACAGTTTTTTTTTTTCACCACAGATGGGTATAGGCCCTTCCTGTCAAGACAAGTTGGGTTTCGCATTGCTCTGGATGCGATCAAGAGATATCAAGACCCCATCTTTGTCCATCTTCATCCCTTTGTCTGGTGTGCCAGACATGCCCCTACCACGAGCGCTATTGCATCCCCTTCCCTGGAATCGCCTTCAAGGAGGCCCATGGATGCAACAGATCCTTTTCATTTGGAGAAATCTGCTACGAAGGGGGCATATTCCGAAGATGTCATGTTGCATTCGTAGATTATAAATTGTTGATTTTATACGCCATTTAGCTGGTTGAATGAAACATGTGAACACCTGTTTTTTCTGGTTAAATCACCATAAACCGATTGCGCAGGGCTCCTTGGGCAATTGCATTCCGAAAGTTGACTCTGGTATTGCCGCGATGATCGGCGAGGGCTTTGCTGATGCACTGACAGGCCGAGTTTCGTATATGGGATGAGAACATCTATTTACCAATTTACCACTTATTTTGGGGTTTGTGTGTTTGATCACGCGAACAGTTTCCAAGCCATTCCAAGTGGATTGAAGCGCTCGTGGATGTATAGACATCCACTCCGCGATGCTGGATTTGAATGGATTTGAACATATTGTTTTGGGATACAGTATGATACAATTTTATCATGTTTCACACCATGTTAATCCCCCAAACCCAGTGGTTCTGCTCGAAAAATGAACCGAACACGGCGTGAGGTGCAGGAGAACAGGCCCTCAGATTGCTCGATGCCAATGTGAGGACCTAAGAGATGAACTGTGTCGAGGGGACCGAAAAATGGGTGATTTCTAGTCCCCAAAAAGATAGACAAGTAGAATCCTGCTAGAATAATGATGATTCACTTGATGATTCACTTGATGAACTTTTCTCTATCTTTTTTGGAGGTACAAAAAAAAGCCCTGAAACATGGCTATTCTTTTGGGGAGAATGGATGAGAATCCTTGTTTTTTTTTTTTTCGGGTACACTATTTTGGGAGTTCAGAGGATTGAGCAGCTATAATTGGACTTCCAGATCAACCCCATTTTTGTCAGGCTTTGATTTTGAAGAGGTTGGAGACAAACTCCGTGCCTTCGAGCTTTTTGACAAAATTTGACTTAGTCGTTCAAAAGTCTCTGGTACCATGGCTCTCATTTGACCTTTTCTTTTTGTTATCCCTTCGGCTTCAATTCGTCAGATTTGCACCTTTTCGGAAGCTGATTTGTTTTGACCTGGTCAAATGAAAGCTGAAAGGGACATCTGACATCTGATGATTTTCTCATTGTCTCACCATGATGCATGGCCAAAGGATGCCAAAGGAATGTAGTGAAGCGTTTTAGCAGCTAACAATCAGGAGCCATACGGACCCTCTTTCCACTTTCCCACTTGCTCTATGGTAGATGTCTGCTAAGTCCGGAGTCTTTGGAGAGTTGACGCTCTACGGCAACTGCAGTGTTCATCTGCAATGGGCACCGACCGTTCTCGGACAGATTGACTGGGATAGGCCAAGCAGCCAACCAAGCTACTTAAGTAGTCGCGTCTTCAAAGCAGCTACTTTGCAGTAGAACAAACATTTGAACTCGGGTTTTGGTTAGGAAGAGACAGGGAGAGGACATTGATTTCTCCCTTCATGGCAACTGCAACTGATGGGTTCTGGACATGTTGGCTGAGACTTACCCATGATTTTCCATGGCTGATGTAAAATAAACCAGGCTGCGATTGGGTTCTCACAGCGCCATAGCCCTGTCATGCTGGTGAGTCACCAAGGATGTCCACCATGGATGCCTTCTGTGTCACCTTGGCAACGTTTTTTCGCGATGGGATCAGTTGGATTGATGTCTTGCTCAACAATGTTGATATCTGATACCGTCTGATACCTGAACTATGTGACTCGTGCAGTGCATCCAGGTGGTCTTCTTCTTTTCTTTTGTCATCGGCCTGGTCTTTTTGGTGCTTTTACGCTTCCTGGTGGGTTGCGCCCCTCGGATTTCTCAGAGGGCCAGCTATGAAAGCTGGTGGCTGAATTTTCTCAAGCTGTCAAGCCCAAGCACTTGGGAGTTTGCACTGCCCAAACCTGCCAAATGGACAGTTGCCATCTCAGGTTGTTTGGTTCTCGGTCTTTCTTGTGACCTTCGCCTTTGCCTTTGGAGGCGGCGCCTTTCACCACGGACGAAAACACTGAATAGCTGGAGATACAAAGATTACAAAAGAGGTGAAATGGCACAACAGATTTACACATGTGTACCACAGCCTGGTGATTTTCAGCCCTTCTTGATTCTAGTGGGTTCCTTTATTGTTCCTCCTATCGCCAAAGCAACGTTTATCAGATCCAGAGTGGCCAAAAACCGAAAACTTTGAATTGCAAACATTTCCAACCCACTGGCTTCTCCGATTTCACAAAGTCAACGAACATCATGGCACCACCTCGTCCCACGAAGTGTTCAATCCCAAACTTGCCTCTGGAATCAGCATGGAAAAATGTCACAGCACCACTTGAGCATTGGTAAACTCTGCTCCCTTTCAGGTCTTGTGGTTTATATCAGATCATTCCAGTGCATGGGTGCTGGCCTACTCGAGACTGGTATTACCACAAGCTGCTGGGCCACAGCATGGGCATTTCCTCTTCCGTGAGCTTTGTGTCATAGGAGATCGGGTCTGGTCTGGATAGGATGCCGAATCTTTGATCAGACAAAGTCAAGGCAAATGTGGAGAGTGGTATGGTTTCCGGTTCCAAGCAACACTTTCGGGTCCAGTCCATTTTTTTTTGATGCAGCGAGGTTCCAATCTCCTCACAACCGCTGCGGTAACTGTCTCCAACGCTGTGCAGTCGCCTCAACTGTTTCTGACGGCAGAGTTCTTCAGATGTTGCTGACAGACTTCACGCGGCAAAGAAAGATACCCTCTGGTAAACTAACAAAGCTATTTATATCTATTTATAGTTGAATAATAACCCATTAAACATGGTGATTTTCAATAGCAAACTGTTATCTATGTTAGTTTACCGGGTATTTGTTCAACTGGCTGCTGACGTGGAATTCCTCATGGAATCCTCGGTTGTGAGGTCGGGAACAGAGACCCTCAGTGAGGAGATGACCGGCAATGGTGCGGACTACCGAGGTGGACAACGCTACACCAGGAGGGCTGCGGGGAGGATAGAAATGGATCGTTTTTTGAACAGTTTTTTGCATCATAACCTATGGAATCATAGTTTTTTGACCCATCCTATGGATTCATAGTTAATAGTTCATAGTTTTTTGTATGGTGAGTTCTAGTATGGGGATGGGTCAAAAGCTATGAACTTAGCATATGCATCCATATGCCGGGAATAACCAGCCATTAACCAGCTGATCTGAACCAGCTATTTTAGGGTACCTAGGGCACCAGTAAGTTCTTTGAACGCTTGGGCAGATTTGTTTCAAATGAAAGGCGAGACTCAATGGTCTCTTAACAATGCTGAATCTTGGCGATCTTGCGAGAAAAGTGAGAGGCCGGTGAACACAAGGCTTTTGACTCATAGCATCTCATAGCCATATTTGGTTTTGTATGAAAATAGGGTACCCCCAAATAAAATTGGTGGTTGATCATGGTTGATCATCATTTTCCCTTCTGCAGATGACCATTTTCAGACAGGCCCATATATATAGAATTTCTATGAATTTATATTTTTCCACCAGAAAACCTTTGTTGATGGCTAGATTACTTGGATTTACCTCTGGCCAATAGTCCTTTGGCCATCCAAGGGGACGGCAGGTCCTGTCACCTCAGCATCAAACATGTGCCAGGAACTTGTACACGTGCCAGCGATGGGACACCAATACCCCGCATGTTGTGGGTTTCGAAGCGGCAGCTTTCAAGAGTGAAACGCAAGTGGAGCTAGATCTGGACGTTCTATGGTGATTTCATGTTTCAGAAACCACGTTTCGCGAAGGAGGTAAGATAGGATAGCCTCATGAATCATTGGTCACTCTTATCAGATGCAGTGGACTCCGCAAATGTGGTTCTTTCTTATTGGCATTTGTTTTTTCTGCCCCTATATTTCTCTGACAGGGAGCTTGTAAGTTGAAACGGAGTGATGGATACAATGTCCCACCTGTGCTCTCAGGCTACAACTTGACTGCTTATCCTATGCTGGAAAACAACTATTGTTGCTTTGGCTGAGCAAAAATGTGGTTTCAATCATCACTTGCCGGCTCTTGTACAGAGTTATGCTATCATCATCTTAGAACAGATGCACTCAGGGAATCAAATGATGTTTTCGAAAACGGGGTACCCCAAATCATCCATTTATATGAATATAATTTTCCATGAATAAAAAAATCCAGCTCTTGGGGTACCCCGACTTAGGGAAACCCCAAATATAGCTCCTGGTTCCGGCCTGGTCAAGGTCGAAATCCGGATGGACTCTCTTCGACGATCTGGTGTTACACCACGGACAAGAACAAGAAATGGGAGCTCTGCAATCCAGCACCTCGGTGTTCTGCCACTCTGATTCTCAGCGACCTCTCAGCCTCTCATCATTTTTGGCGCTTGGCTTGGCACATGGTGTGTGACAGCTGAGGTGGGCATCTCTTTGCCGGATTGTTTGGAGCCCCGGATCGGCCGCAGTAAAGGTTTTTAGCCGGGCATAAGGCGCACAGGCTTTCCAAAAAGGACACCTTTCTGCTCTTTCTGAAACCATTTAGGACCATTCACTTCATTGCTGTTTCTTGTAGGACCAAGTCGAAACTTTCGAAGTTGTGGCGGTTCAAACGGAAAGCAGCCATTATGTGAGCGCATGTCAGTCCCGGACCCGGATGATATATTTGTGCGGGACACTTTTTGGCAACGAAAAGTGTTTTCTTGGCACTAAAATCCCTTTCTTTCTAGCCATGTCAAACCCAAGGAATGAACATGAACCCGGCAAACATGACAGAACAGTAAATTGAAACGAAAAGCACGATTGATTAAGGAAGGTGAAATGTAGAATTATTGACCAATATTACGTTTCCTTTTCGTGGTTACGACAAAGATGTATATATATATATGCAAAAGTACCATTGCACAGCTAGAAAACAAACATTAAACACACACACACACATATATATACATACATACATACATACATACATACATACATACATACATACATACATACATACATACATACATACATACATACATACATACATACATACATACATACATACATACGGCGGATACATATATAACCTTGGTAGAATTTCTGGACATTTTACGTGCGTAGGAAAGCTTGCCATATTTACGCTACAGCGGTCAGAGGGCAAATGCTTTCTCTCCATGTTACCACAAGATTTGTGCGCAAACTGCAATGTAGACAGTGTCTCAGAAAAGCTCATTGCATAGTCTCGACAAAGTCTCTGGATAAGCAAGAACTTTCCGAGCACAGCCAGGGCCAAGGTTCAAATCCATTCACCAACCAGATACAGAAGCAGAACTTACCTTTTTTATCCATTACTCTCAAGTTATCGCAACTGCGAAATTTGGAAAAGAATGAGAAGCGTTATTCCGAACGGCACATGGAATAATGGAATGATTTCCTTCGTTTCCTCCAACAAGCTTCACCTGACCTAAGGCTCAAAAGGTTATGCTGTGGAAGACCCAGGAATCCGTCACAGTGGCTGCACGGGAGAGGGGACTCCGGGGACTCCCACGCGGTTCTTGCCATGGGAGTGTTGACTAGCCCAGAAGTGCTTCACTCGTCAGCGTGCATCGGATGGATCAGGATGGATTTTTTGAGTTTCAGGTCAATCTTCAAACCCCTGGTTGATTGGTTGATTGGTTGATTCCAATATTTTAATGGGTATACTAAGTTACTAGCCAGCATATTGGGAATTCTCATCATCAAAAAAAGGGAACATGTCAGCCCAGGTGAGATCCTAAAGATCGTTGCCTACGTCGTTTGGGGGTTGGGGATCATTTGGGCAGCTTGGTCAAACTCTGGCTTTGGTACCATGGGGTACCTATGTTTTCCAGTGGTTATTTTATCATTTATCATCACTTTCCCTATAGAAATAGTATAAGTGGGGGCTATACTATACCCCCATTTTTAGACGCCCAGCCAGATGTACCAAAAAAAGGGTTTCCAAGATTATCCTAAACGAGGGTTTCTCACCGTTTCATTTGCTCACAATTTTTTGCGTTCTGGCAGCGGTTGTAATAGTTTCTGTTTCAGAACGGCCATAGTGAGATAGGATCCACCGTTTCAAAGTGTACACTAGAATGTGATCTGAAGGATGGGTTGAATCTTCCAAACATTTTTTTCCAAGTAGTTTGCCCTTCAACCAAATCCGGGATTCGATGTTGCTGCAAGATTACAGTGAGATGTCGCGAAAAGGAGAAACACACACACACATATCTGCTGTGCCCAGATCATTGCCATTTGCTTCCTGCAAAAGCGCATCCGATTAGCTGTGGCCATCAACAAGGTGGCGGCATCTTGGCGCATGATGGGCGCGAATGAAAATGGGGTATACCGATCAAAAGGCAATTTCAATGGGACAATGATGATTAATAATTAACTTGTCCCGTGGATTTAGGGGTATTTGCAGTACAGTATCTCCTATTTTTGGACAAACCCAGGGGGTATGTGGTTAAATTGTGACAAACTCAGGGAAACATGACTGAAGGCAGCCTCATCCGGCGCAACCGTTTTCTTTTGCGAAAAGCCGTGTGAGCTGAGGCTCAATTCGTGTACAACAACCCCACCATTCTTGCAGTCCCCGCTACATGGCGGCACATTTTCGGAGATCAAGAGAGAGCAGAGATTCGGGGGGGTGTTCAGTCTTCTGTCCCTCCATTTGTACGCTGATGAGCCTTTTATGCTGAAACTGAGGTGGTCCAGATTCTTATCGGCTTCATCTGGTTGCTGGTTTGGATCATCTGCGCCTCCTTCCTCTTGTCGCAGGTTCCTGCAGATTATACGCCTCTACCTCAGCAGCCAAAAAGTGGACCAGAGCAAGGGGAGATGTCTGGAATAGATTGTGCACTCTACCTGACTCTACCTCCCATACCGAGCTCGCTCTGTATCCCTGGTCTTATTCAGTCGAGTCCTTCCATCTGTTGATTGACTCCTGTGAGCATCAGCCAAGGCCCAGCACCGCCTTTGCGACCTACACCGAAGCGTGCCTCGGCTGCTGCATTGGGGTGACTGCACAGTCCCGGGGACGATGTGCCAAGGGCTGGAAATTCGACCACTCCGGGAGCTTGCACGGATAAGTGGCCCTCTGGCATCGTATATAAGTATGAGGCAGGGCCTGATGCATGGGACCACGGGACCATGGGATTATGGGACCATGGGATTGTGGACCGCAAAGTTGCTGCATGCAGGGCAACTTGAGCTCGGCCAACGATACCTGCACTGGCGTCTATGGCGATGTCTCAAACATTGAGCGCTCTACTCAGCAAGTTGCATGGCACCTGCAAGGTTTCTGCAGCCATTTAAGCCAGGAAAATCTCATCCACATCACGAGGCCGCTGTGCTGGCGTTGCTCACCACCTCGCTATGTTTTTGACGTCAAGTTTGCAGGAGTGACTTGGATCAAGATGTAGATGATTGGGTCACGCATTTCGGTTGGACAGCAGCATCTCGCTTCTTGTGAAGGAAACATCATAAAGTCAGTGTAGAAACAGCTGAGTTGGAAGAGGTTGCAGCTTAAGATTCATCGTGTCTTGTTGGTCTTGTTGGTATCACGTTCTATGCTTTTTGTTTCAGTCAATGCCCAATAAATGTAGATATACAAGGTAAGTATAAAGGTACATTTGTGGCTGAAAAGACAAAGAGGCACGCTGTGATTTATGTTTTTTTTTGTCAAAGGCCGTTGAGAAAATGCTATACTTCAAACACACCGCGAATCGCAACCTTTTCCTCTTTCTCAACTCAAACAATTCACAACCAGTGTCATTGCCGAAACACAACCAACCACAGCGTTTTGTTTAGTTTATCACAGAAACACACATGCATGCACCACACGCGCGAAATTTCCACGCCATTTTGGTCCAACCTAAGTGCCAAGTTCGTTTCAAGTTCACCAAGCTTGGAGTTGGGCAGTTTTAGATCATAACACGCCTTCACGTCTGTTACTTGGTGGGCGGATCTGAAACTTTCTCAGCTGCTTTCAACTCTTGGTGTTTTTTTTTTCCCCGAGGCGCTGGCAAGGTAAACTTAATCCTCTTGATGCCACTTTGAATTGGTTTTTAGCTTCTCAGTTGCTCTCAAAAACAAATTTACTCAAAAGGATCGGAATTGAACAGAAACTCATGCACAAACCTTGGATCCACAAATTTAATGGGGTTTCTCAAAAGATTGCTGGCAAATCGTTATGTCAGATGGCCCTGGTATCCTAGCGCTGAGGCCTTCTTTTCACTGCTGTGGAACAATGCCTTCCTAGTGGCCCTTGGACAGTGTGGATGCCTGGTGTCCTTTTCATGTGCAGTCAAAAAGTTGGAGCAAACACCATGAACAATTGTGGCTTACTGGGATATTCACGGGGATATTTCATGGGATGTACAACTTAATTTATAGCCAACTTTTAAAAGTGATGAGATTAACAAATTATATAATGGGGGATGGTCATCAGTTTTAGTTCCCATTATAAATATTATAAGGATTCCCATCCATTATAAGGATTCCCAATATTGGATGGTTGACCATACTCCATTCACCATGTTTTGATCATGGCACATATGTTTGAAATCACACTAGAAAGCCTGGTCAATATTAATATGGGATCTATTCATTACTTGGAATTCCTTATTGAGGGGTGTTTGATATTAGAGTCATGGGGTTTTCAGCTTGCCGCAATTATTTTAGAGATCTTACGTAACAAGTCGTCATGATTCATGGGCAGTCCTTTTCTCATGATAGGGGATCCCTGAACTTAGAACTTTTGTTTGATATTTGGCCATGTTCAGTGAAAAGACTCTGCAAATCGAACGCTTGGTAGAGCTTGGTTCGATAGTGCCAGCAATCTCAAGCTTTATTTTCTCAGTGTCTTGGGGTGGCTGCGATCAGCTCTGCTTTGTTTTGGCATTGCTGCCCTCCGGTAGTCTAACATTGCAGCAGGAGAGTTGGCAACTACCCAATTTCAATTTGCAAGTCATCTACCATCGGATCCATTGGCAAAGGCTGCGTTGCCACGTCAGATCGTTAAATTGCCAAATGGTACCTTTGCCAAATTATAGCTGATGATATATCGCCATGAAATCCCCAACTTTGAATGGTTAAAGCCAAGTTTTTTTCCCCATTGTATTATCCCATTATTATATATATATACACATACATATATCCCATTACATTATTCCATGAATATCCCATGGTATATATATATACACACAATATATGCATATGTATATACGTACGTATACATACATACATACATACATACATACATACATACATACATACATACATACATACATACCTACCTACCTACCTACATACCTACATACCTACATACCTACATACCTACATACCTACATACCTACATACCTACATACATACCTACCTACATACCTACATACCTATACCTACCTACATACCTACATACCTACATACCTACATACCTACATACCTACATACCTACATACCTACATACCTACATACCTACATACCTACATACCTACATACCTACATACATACATACATACATACATACATACTTCATACATACATACATACATACATACATACATACATACATACATACATACATACATACATACATACATACATACATACATACATACATACATACATACATACATACATACATACATACATATTCCCATGTTATATCCCATTACTTTGCCATGGTTTGCTGTCACGCGCTAGGCTCGTCGTGGCAGGCGCTTGTGCACAGTGGTTCTTCACTGTTGCGGAGCGTCGTGGGAAGGAGAGCGATCGATTGGGTCTGTGGCAGGCCACTTGGGTGTGTCCAGCTAGTGGAGAATATCTATCCTGTTGTATCCTGTTCTATCCTCTTCTATCCTATTCTAACCTAATCTAACATTTTCCAACCTATTCTAGCCTGTTCTCACCCATTCTAACCCGTTCTAACGTATTCTACCCTATTCTAATCCCCTTACATTGGTCTAATAATCCAATCCAGTCTAATCCCGTTGTAAACCTAATCTGATCTATCTACGTATATATGAACTGTAATTTACACATACTATATATATATCATATATATATATTATGTATATGTTAATGTAGTTAAAAGCCAACATGTTGTGAGTTAATTTTGCAGCAGAAATCCAGTGGTTTCTGAGAAGCACCGCACCGTAAAGATCCCAGACATTTTTTTTGGGGCAGCTTCCTTTTGGGTGACATTCAACTTGTGGTATCCATGTCTTACCATGGTATGATATGGCTCAAAATAATGATTTTGACGGACCAATTAGTGCGTTTGTACCAATTGTTGACTACCCGCATATCACTTCCCTTTTTCTTCGCCCACACAGCAGGAGAACGTGATCCGCCAGTCGCTGCGGATGGCTTTCCGTCTCTTGGTCGATGGCTGCGCCCATCAGTGCCCCAAACCTTTTGTGGTGGCTGTTGTTTGAGGGTTTCTCAAAAGGTGGGACCTCAAAACCACGGGTTTCAATGCGAGAACGGTCCACTGGTCCACGGTACTTTCGGGGTAGCCCCATTGTAGGAAAGAACCATTCATATGATTCATGGGTTTAAAGTCACTGGTTGACGTGGGGATTATTAGAGTCTGATTCTCAAAAGGACGACAGAAGATTGCGGGCACTGCTCAATCGAACTTGGATATCCAATGATATGGAGATGTGATTCTGATCCATTCACAAGTGGCACTTGTGGCACTTGTGGCACTTGTGGCATGCTCATTCTTTCTTGAACGATGTGGGTGACGGGCCACTGAGGTTACCACTTGGGCTCGGTGGCCTTTGGTGCTTGGCTCAATCCGCTGGGTAGATCCCAAACTACTGGCAGTGTTGGGTGGAACCACCAACAAGCGATCAATGCCCGCAGTTGGGGTTCGAACAGCGAAGTTAAGCTGAAGGTTGGCCTATTTACGATCTCTTGATTGTTTTCTCATGTTGTTGTCGAGCTGAATTTGTGATTCTCTCCGGAGGTGTCGAAAGGAAGGGGTCTCGGGTGGGGGATCTTTAATTTTGGTGAAACGTGTCTCAAATTCACCTATATATGGTCCCGTCCTCCGTCTCTCCACCCCCCCCCCATGGGTTGGGTCCCCAGGTAGTAGCCCCAATTCCCTTCTATTTGCAAGCTATTGGCAGCATTTCTGAGGTCCAGCGTCGTATTTGCTAGGTCTTTGCAGCATTTCTGACTACCAGCCTCGCATTTACTAGGTACATGCTACCTTTTAGGCGACCTACGTAGCACACATACTCCTTCAAAGTACCTACGTGCTACCTATAGTCATACATACATGTGCTATGTATCTACTGTATCTACTTCCTGTTTACTACCTGTGTACTCTGACAACACTACCTCTGTTGAACATATACCGTACCTACCATACATGTCAATGATGCCATGCATACCATACCTATCATATCTATCATACATACCATACATACCATACATATGAAATGTAATTACCACACCTACCATACATACAATAGCATACATACAATAGCAAGCATACATGCCATACATACCATACCTACCTTAGATAGGACATATTCCATACCCATCATAGTAACCATACATACCATACAGACCATACATACTGTCATATTAAACATACCATATCCAACAGACTTACATACCATACCTACCATCCATACAATACCAACCACTCATGCCATACATACCATACGAAGACTGTACGCTGGAAGTTATATGAGTTTACAGATTTAGACGAGTTACAACATGTATATAAACCTTCTATAACATGTCTATAACCTGCTTGCAAGTATGTAAAGTGTCATAACATTCGATAAGTAATTTGTAAGTTTAGCTAGCCGGCTACGAGAAGTTGTAAATGTTTAGGTAAAATATAAATGGTTAATGAACTTATCGTAAGTATCTTAACTGCATGTTTTCTTTTTATAACTATGTTAACAGACTTAACATAAGTATGTAGGAAAAGTTATCATAAGTTATCTGAAAGTTAACAAAAGTTATAAAAAGTTACAAAAAGTTAGTATAAAGGTACATAAAGTTAAAAATATGTTTACAAGAGGGCAATGAAAATGTTTATTTATTTTACATTTTTCGAGAGTTTCATTAAGTTTGTGACAAAGCTTGTCAACATTTATACAGGGTGAAACAATCTTTCTGTATGTGGAAACGATGTTGTTCGCAGGCAATTTTTTTGTGAAGACAGGTCCCGTAAAGGAATCGGTGTGAAAAAAATGAGGTCCTGGAACGGACATGGTTTGAAAAAATGGTTCCTGTAAAGGATTCTGTTTGAAGAAATTGTTCCTGTAAAGGACATGGTTTGCAAAGACTGTTCCTGTGAAGGATGTGGTCTGTAAAGACATTTCCTGTAAAGGATCGAATGTTTGAACTTGTAATATCTAATGCTTGTAAAGGACCTGGTCTTGGAAGATATTTCTTGCAGAGAAGGTCTGGTTTTTTCACACCGATATGCAAACAGTGTGTGTTTGTGTTAGCTGCATTGCCTCTCAAAGTAAACGCACCAGCGCGTCCGTTCGATTAAATACGATGTCTACGGACAGCTACATGTTGGCCCTTGCTGCGGCAGCGTCGCCACTTTTGGAGCTAGCCAAATCTTTGCCGGAGAGCCTCAAGGCTCCCGGAGAGGAGACGGTGGATCAGCCGCCCGCAGAGGCTGGAGATGGCGAGCATGCGGCCCGCGAGAAGGAGCAGGCGACGGAAGAGAAGATGACGGAGACAGAGACCGAGAAGGTAGAAGAGGCCATCAAGAAGCCAGACCGAAAAAGGGTGACCGGTAAGTCTTCTGAAGCGTCTGCTCCGAGCAAGAAGCAGAAGTAGATGGCAATCAGCGCGGGCAGGAAAAGGAATGCGTGCCGGAGGTGTAGGGTCACTTCTGAAAAGACGGTTCCTGGAAAGGATCGAGTCTGAAAAGACAGTTCCTGAAAAGGATCAAGTCTGAAAAGACAGTTCCTGAATAGGATTTAGTCTGAAAAGACAGTTCCTGAAAAGGATCCATTCTGAACAGATATTCCCTGAAAAGGATGAAGTCTGAAAAGACAGTTCCTGAAAAGGATCAAGCGCGAAGAGACATGTCGTGCACGGGAAGAAGTTCGACAAACCTATTCCTGAGAAAAAATTCTTTGTCGCATGATATCGTTCAGACACATTGAATGGGCAGCAGATATCCGCTTGCATTTTGGATCTAGTTTTTTTTCTGCAACAAGAGCTCACTAGCACCGAAGGACAAAGGTCTATAGAAAGAGCCATGAGCCAAATTGTTGCTTCGCTGGAAGCCTGTGGCCGCTACTTGGAGACCATGAAGACGTTTCCTAGCTTTATGCAAGCTAAGGAGAGCCAACTGTCTTCTTTGACGTGTCAATTTGGTCGGCATAGTTGGTCGCTTTCTGAAGGCTCTGAAGCATTGGAGCTCTTGCAGCGCCAGGCCATTTGGAATGAGACGGAACGAAGCTCTTTGGCATTAGCTATAGTTCAGCTATAGTTCAGCTATAGTTCAGCTATAGTTCAGCTATAGTTCAGCTATAGTTCAGCTATAGTTCAGCTATAGTTCAGCTATAGTTCAGCTATAGTTCAGCCATAGTTATAGTTCTAGTTCCGCCATAGTTCCACTATAGTTCCGCTATAGTTCCGCTATAGTTCCGCTATAGTTCCGCTATAGTTCCGCTATAGTTCCGCTATAGTTCCGCTATAGTTCCGCTATAGTTCCGCTATAGTTCCGCTATAGTTCCGCTATAGTTCCGCTATAGTTCCGCTATAGTTCCGCTATAGTTCAGCTATAGTTCCGCTATAGTTCCGCTATAGTTCCACTATAGTTCCGCTATAGTTCCGCTATAGTTCCGCTATAGTTCCGCTATAGTTCCGCTATAGTTCCGCTATAGTTCCACTATAGTTCCGCTATAGTTCCGCTATAGTTCACTATAGTTCCGCTATAGTTCCGCTATAGTTCAGCTATAGTTCCGCTATAGTTCCTATAGTTCTATAGTTCCGCTATAGTTCCGCTATAGTTCCACTATAGTTCCGCTATAGTTCCGCTATAGTTCCGCTATAGTTCAGCTATAGTTCAGCTATAGTTCAGACAAAAATAGCTATAGTTCAAAGAAAAATAGCTATAGTTCAGACAAAAATAGCTATAGTTCAGATAAAAATGGCTATAGTTCAGAAAAAAAAATGGCTATAGTTCAAACAAAAATAGCTAGAGTTCAAAAAAAAAGGCTATAGTTGAGAAAAAAAAATGACTATAGTTCAGACAAAAATATTAGTCTTTCAGAAAAAAATGGCTATAGTTCAGACAAAACTAGCTATAGTTCAGAATAAAAGTCGCTATAGTTCAGACAAAACTAGCTATAGTTCAGACAAAAATAGCTAGAGTTCAGACAAAAATAGCTAGAGTTCAGACAAAAATAGCTATAGTTCAGATAAAAAATGGCTATAGTTCAGATAAAAAATGGCTATAGTTCAGATAAAAATAGTTACACTGGAGACAAAAATCGCTATAGTTCATACAAAACAAATATACACGAAGAAAAAAATCTGCAGCACCTTTGGCACAGCTTCAGATATAACAAAAAAAGCAATGCCGCCCAAGTCAGCCAATCCGTTGCCTGTGGCAGAGATCAAAAAACTCAAACATGTCTTGCTTCGGATGATGTGGAATGAGATGCAAGTATATCGACCCGCCCATTGGATACTATCAGGTAACAGTTTACTCACCCTATGGTAAAAACGCACATGTTGCTTCACATTCGGTTTTGAAGAAGAGGAAATGATCCAAATTGAAGCTGCGTTTCATGCCCCGGCTAGAAAAAAAAAGTTTTTGCGTCGCTGGCATGGTTTGAATATAAATGATCCCGAAAGGGATGAGTTGAAAACAGCCAGATCCCGAAAGAGACAGTTTGAAACACACAGATCCCGAAAGGGATGAGTTGAAGAAACCAAATCCCGAAACGGAAAGTTTGACAAAAACAGATCCCGAAAGGGATGGGTTGAAGCAACCAAATCCCGAAAGGGACAGTTTGAAAAAAACGGATCCCGAAAGGGATGGGTTGAAGAAACTAAATCCCGAAAGGGAACGTTGGAACGGACTAGATCCCGAAAGGGAGAGGTTGAAACAACCAAGTCCCGAACGGGATCGTTTTAACAAAATGACGGATCCCGAACGGGAACAGTTGCAACTAAACTTGTTTCCAGATCCAAAAATACAGACAGAGATATCACCAAAAAAAACATATCGCCTCAGGTGTCATGATTCCTGAAACATACATAACTGAAACGCTTTCACATCACTTCGTCGATTCAAAAAAAGGATATCATATCTGAAAGTTCTTTCAGAAACAAGACAGTTATAAAATCCACGTGGTCGGAAACCAAGGCAAAGACTTTCAAAAGTATAAAAATATACAAAAAAATTACAAAAAGTTATGAAAAGTTATAAAAAGTTAGCAGAAGTTATAAAAAGTTAGCAGAAGTTACGAAAAGTTAAGACAAAACTTACAAATAAGTTATTAAAGTTAACATAACTTCCTTTTATCTTTTTGATAAGTCATGCTAACTTCCAACATAAATCCTTTAACTTCTGTATATCTAGGCTAAGTCTGTAAAGTCTTATAACTTTAAGCGTACAGTCTTCGTACCTACCATACATACCAAACATACCATACTTTCCAAACATGCCATACCAGACCGACCATACACACCATACATACCCACCATACCATACCACACCCCCACCACACCACAGGGGGGGGAGGGGGACAGTGCCACACCCCCACCACACCACAGGGGGGGGAGGGGGAAGATCTCATATGGGACCAGTATATGGGACCCATCCACCACACCACAGGGGGGGGAGGGGGACAGTGCCACACCCCCACCACACCACAGGGGGGGGAGGGGGAAGATCTCATATGGGACCAGTATATGGGACCCATCCACCACACCACAGGGGGGGAGGGGGACAGTGCCACACCCCCACCACACCACAGGGGGGGAGGGGGAAGATCTCATATGGGACCAGTATATGGGACCCATCCCATATGGGGGGGGGAGGGGGGGGGGTGGCAGGGCCTGGTGCATATATCCATATCCGATATTGGAACATTTTGGCTAGACCTGGGAATGCTCCCTCTGTGGTTTGTCCTTTTGGAAGCGCTCGTCCTTCGCTGCAGGTGCCTTCATCTTGGCTTTGGTACAATTCATCAGGTGCGAAACCAAGCTCAAACCAGGAAGTTGCAAGAGCCGGCTGCAACTGTAAAGGAGAACGATGATGGACATAACAGGTCAGTTGAAGGTTTTTATCAGACTAGGGTAATCATCACACCGCTGCTGCTGTAGATCACATTCTTCAGAGACCCAGACCCGCACGCTTGGCGAGCCAGGTATCTCACGAAATACTTCCGGAAGCAGGCCAGGTGGGCCAGGTGGGCCAAGTTGGTGAGGTTTGATGTTGGAGACAGCGCCCTGCTAGGCCGCTGCACAAAAGAACAGGGTCATGGTGTGACACCCAAGCGCTTCGCTGTGGTAACTCCGAACTGCTGAAGCTTTGATGCTGTGATGCTAATCTGTTTGCCTATGAAGAGTACGGCTGACCTGCCAACCCTGAGGTCATAGTGCTGCGAGTTCTTGAGTGCTGTCTGTGGATTCTTGAGAAGCTTGACATTGAACAGTTCTAGCAGATTTTGGTTTTGTAGGCAAAGTGATGAGATCTCTGTAAAGAAGAACACGCACATTCAAAGTGAAAACGTTGATCGCTAAGTCGTTTCAAGCTTTTCTGGGTTTGGGAGGATGATTGAAGCATCTGAAAAAGTCCCTCTGCGACTTCTGAGGAAGTTCATCAAGTTCTTGAACAAGAACGCCTACATTCAGGCAAGCTGCAGATATGATCAGACGTGCCATGAACCAAAAACTTGTGGCATTGCGGATCTTGTGGAACATGCATCCTTCCTCATTTATCACTTTTTGAACTTGAAAGACTATAGCTGTAAGGACTGCCAGTCTGCAAGGACTTTTCTGCGTGCAACCCATGTGACCCTTCCATCACAACCATGGCGAGACAGGTAGCACTGATGGGCACCAACTTCTGCACATCTGCAAAGACTCTTGGGTGCTACTGTCCGGCTGCAGGAAAAACATGTGTAGTGGCTGCAAGACACCCTTGTTGGTTGATTATTGTCATATTACGGGATTAAACTACAAAATATCTTGGGATTATCATAATCCATGAACTGGGACTTCCTTCAAAGTTTGACATGATCCAAAAGCTGTGCCTTATTGTTCCATCTCGTCCCATGAGTATCACTCAACTCATCCCAACATCATCCTTTGGTGTTTCCCTATACAGTTGCTGGGTTTGGCCCCTCCTCGTTTGACGGTTGCGCAAAAACAGTTCCGCATAATAACTCATGATAACTCTGTTTTATAGGCAGTTCCAACATGTTCCTTCTGCGCAGTGGTTACTCATCGATATCTCAGCAAAACCAGCCAATTTCATGCCGTTCATGGCGGGCTTCCCCATTTTCAGGTCCACATTTCCATGGATTTCCCAAGGAATGCCTTCCAGTTGATCTTACGGAACATGGTACGCTTTGGTGTGGTGGTATCCTGGCGACTGACCCGCTTCGTGACGTAACGGACGTGCTTTGGGATTGACGCCCAATTGGTGATGTTGATGAACCGAGGCAATCCTGGGCACAGTGATACACTTCATTGGCTGGACGGTGATCACTGTCTCAACAGCTACCGTGGGCTACTTCATTTTCCAGGCGTGGCGAGGCCGTTGTTGTTGTTGCGGTTACCAATTGGAGTTACTTCCGAAGGGTCTAAAGAGAGACAACTCGATAAAGTTCGCGAGTTGAAGTCCGAAGCACCATATTTCAGTCGTATACATGACATAGATGTCCTTTTCCCACTGGTTTTATTATTAGGGTTTCCCACCATTTCCGGACATGTGACAACGAGCTTCATCTTTGATAACAGGCCTTTCATCCTGACGCTGATCTACTGCTGCCAATGTTTACATATGTTGCAACAGGCTACATGGTAGCCTCTTGGCTTGGAATGCGGTTGAACGATGGCCCTGGAGATCTCCTGGTAAGCTACTGAAAAAATGATGACAAGGTCCATCCAAGGGATTTTCCTGGTTGCTCAGCAACCTTGTTTTTCATGCAGCGAGGATTCTTCCTTACCATGCTAAAATCTAAAATGCTTGGTCGATACTTGTTGCTCTTCCTACCCCCATCGGCTGGTAAAGCATGAAACATGTGTCAGTTGCCCGGTGGCATCCTCTTAGGCTCAGCTGTTTATGAATGTCTTTGGTCTTGGCGTGGACACATCTCTTCAGTGCTTTATTGCTGCAGAAGAGATGGGAATCTCCGAGGAAAGGGGCAGGGCAGATTCAGCAACTGCTTGGATCCTACAATGCAGACTATACTATATTGATTATATTGCTCCTGCATCGGTAAGGGATGGTACTGTTGGTACTTCAATACAAAAATCAGTTTGCCAGTTTGCCACTGTTCCTGCACTTTCCACCCTTCATGGCTTCCCCGTCATTTCATTCATCTCACCCTTCTAGTATATCATGGGTCAAGTCATTGTATTCTCCAACATTGGAAGGTTGAATACAAAGATTGTCATGGTTCAAACCCTCATCTTTGCAAGATTTTCTCCATGTTTTCCGAACGTTTTTCCCATGGTTTTCCCATGGTTTTCCCTATGTCTTGATAGGACTACGTGCCCTCCGAGCTGAAGAGCCTGGTGGATTCCAATCCGGGCAAGAAGAAATGGGCCTTGTTCGGGGGCTCGAAGGCCTCCAAAATGCTGGAATGGACAAAGCATCTAGAAATGCTGGATTGAAAAGCCCCCAAAAAATGGAGAGTTGAATGAGACACTCAACTACAAATGGTGGATTTTATGTTTGATGACGCTAGAGGATAGCCATGTTTGAATGGAGTTTCAGATCGGTGAACGAGGTGGCACCCATGGCACGGTGGTATTGATGAGTTGTCCCAATGAAATCAGTTGCACTCTGGCAGCTCGCAGGTGGCACCCATGTGAGTTTTTGAAGCAGAGTACACCTGGGCTGAGCACAATTTCTTGAAGTCTTGGAGCTTGAGAACCAACTTTAAAGCTTAAAACGGTAGTTTAAATGTTTTTTTTTAATTGTGGGGAGAACACGGATTTTTTCTTCCCAGCAGCAGTTTCATAAGCGTTTGGCATAACTCATCATAACTCCAGCTTCCGGAGAGATCTTGCACATACTGCACGTTAATCAGATTGCTGGGCAGTTGCCACCGCAAGTTTCACCGGTCGAAAGGGCCACCACGAGGGGAAGTCGCCTTAAGTTTCGGCGACCCATGTAGTTTCAAGGAGCAAGCGAGGCCTGAAGTTTTCTCTTTCGTCTGACGTCATGTCTTGTCAAATGCAATCCATGTTGTACTGATGTTGTGAAGGGTTTTGCGATCTGATGTACTTACCGAACAGGTCCACATTTCTCGGCGGTCTATGAAGGTCTGTGCTGCTTAGTGCTTGAAATCACTTTGGTCCCAGTCTAAGACTCGGACGAGCGGCTGTGAAGGAGCTGGACTGCGGATATCACCACTGATAGTGGTCCTTGATTAATCCAAACCATCTCTTGGCATATCCTACCACCGCTCCTTCACACCCGAAACGAGCAGAAAGGTGTGGGGCAGAGTTCCCTGATCACCGAAGCTCACACGTTTAAATCAAGGGCATGTTGGGAGGGATGGCGGTCATAGGTGGTTGATAGGTTTGCGACAGGAACAGGGAGGTGCTGTTGATTCAACTTTGAACCGCACTTCTTGAGATAGTATATATAGGTTTCTGTCTCCATCGTGATTGCCTTGCATCACGCTTTTCTGGTTTGATGGTCCCTCTTGTGTATCTATTGCTTGGATATGGGCCAAATATCAATCAAAAAGTTGCACAATCTCTAGACTCTAGTCTCCAGGACACAAGTTTGACCCATGTTGCCATGTCGGACTGCAGGAGTCCGTGCCCGTGGCGGAGTTCTTGGAATCGCAGAACTTGCTGCGCTCGGTGCAATGTGAGAAAGCGGTAGAGGAGGCGGCTTCCTCTATTAAAACCCAGTGGTAAAACCACAAAAAAAAACATATGGTGGAGTCCAGGTTTCCTACAATGGGGTTACTGTAGCCCTAAATCATCCATTTTGGAGGTACCCCTATCTTAGGACACCCCCATATGGGGAAGTTGAAATCATCCAACTTTGCTGGTTACTTTGGTGTTTCTACCATGAAACTCGCAGCCTCAGAGCAGGAATCCCTTGTTGAATCATTGAATCTGCTCCAGGCTTTAATGATTTTAATGCTTCGAGAGTCTGTTGGTAGACGAGGTTTCAACATGTTTCAACTTTTGAGTCTTTGATTAGATGAAACTGACATGAACCATATGAACCATATGAACCATGGTAAACTGACATGAAGCATGGGACGACCGCGCCAGGTTTGGAAGGACGTGCGGGCCCTCTTTGGACCAACCGTCGTCTTCGTCCTGGGCGGTCCCGGTGCTGGGAAAGGCGGGGCCAAACCGTTGAACCCGGTTTCCGAAGTCATGGTATCCCAATAGCTGGATGATCTGGATGGTAAAAGTGTGGATCCTAAACTGGATGATTTGGGGGTGCCCCCATTGTCGATCATTTTAATTTCATCGGACTTCAGGGGCGGAAGAGTTGCGAACATTCTGCGGAAAGTATGATAAAACTTGCTGTCGAGGCACTCTCTGCGGGAAGATTGTTGAGGCTTGCTGCAGCTCAAGGGAAGGAACACTGACTGCATGCTGATCTTGGAATGGATCATAAGTCTGGAGGCGCCCAATCTGAGATGATACAATTTTTGCAGGTTTGTGAGGGTAGCAGGATTAGTTTTGACCATACATCTTTGATGAATTTATCTCCTAGTGGAACTTTGAAACCTTCAGCGACCCATGGATGGCGGTTCACCTGTGGTAGATGTGGCTTTCATGCGATTAGAACATCTACAGACTCTTGACACTGGATTTATGATATAGTCTCAGGATATAGTCTTAAAATGCCGGAAACAAAATGACCAGCCGTTTGAATGAGCTGGCAAATTGGATGGTCTAGTACCCTTGCTACCAAAAAGTTATTGATGAGTGGACAATTATATTACGAAAATATGATGATCCCCATTCATATCCATTATCATCCCCGTGAATTCCGGTCATATCAATCACTAGCATCTAATATCCCCGGAGAAGCATCCCCAATATCATACGATCCCCATTTTTTTTCCATGAATTCACATCCCAAAAATGGCCTGACAGGCTTGTGGATATCGTCATCTCAGTGCAGGTGACCTGCTACGGGAGGCCGGAAGTGGGGGGGCTTCGCCATTGGAAAATGGACCTGAGCCGATTTCAAGCAAAACAGGGAAGATTCTGGAGATCTGAGCCAACATCATGCAACATCTGACCAAAAATTGGTTGAGATTCCTGAGATCAATCAATCTTAAGCAACAGAAACACGGATAGAACTTACCAGTCGTATCTGGCAAGATCATATCTGCATGGGAAGCACATAACGTTATCAGTGGCAGTAAACGTTTCATTTTTTGCTAGCCAGTTTGGACTGGAACCCATACCACAATGTCCAATTTCCCAGTCACCCAGCTATAAATCTGGGGGTGCTTCCCAGCTAAAAAACCTGTGGAAACTCAATCCAAGCACTCATGGAAATCTACAATCCACTGCCAAGTGTTCTGTGAAACTTGTTCGAAGTACAATCATTTAGTGGCGCCGTTGGATGTGGAACATCTTGGCCTTTCTTCTATGACAGTCTCGCCAGGAAAGGAAACGGCCAGGGTCCAAATTCGGGGAGCTGATAGAAGCACACATCAAGGACGTTGCAGAAGATCAATGCAAGTTCTCCCATAGTGACATAATGATGATTGGTTGGTGGTTTGAAATATGGCGTGCATTTCATTCAACTTGGGATGATCAAGATATTGTGGGTTTGTCTGAAAATAAGGCATATAATTTTATCCACTGATGAATCATCATTTTCCCCTCATGTTCCCATCATTTTCCCCATGAAATGGCTGCCTCATGGAGCCCATTCTCAGACCCATCCCATTGCGCGCAGGAGGGTCAGCTGGTCCCAGCTTCAATCGTAGTGGAGTTGCTCCTCCAGGCATGAAGACCCATGGCGAATCGGAATTTTCTCAGCTACACTTCTTGGATCAATTTTGGATACATATTAAGGGGTTTCCATAGTCATCGGGGAACCCCCAATAGCTGGAAGCAAACTGGTTTAATGGAAAATCCGGTTATTTCATGGATGCTAACTGGGGATGCCCTGGTGCAGGCCATGCGGGAGCAGGGCTGGGAGGGTGGCAAGTACCTCATCGACGGCTTTCCGAGGCGTCAAGCGCAATCCGTCAAAACATCAAAAGATTTCGCTCAATTTGAGCTGAAAAGCATCCAAGGCTATCCAAGTTCATTGACCCCCTACTGGCTCCTCTTCAATTTTCTTCCTGCATCAGACTTCTCCATGCTTCGAGGAGCTTCGATAACCTGGAAGCTTGGCGGGAGACTGTCCGTGACCAGGCTACGACAGCTACGACAGAGTCGTGGCTCACAAAACCTAAGCTGGTGGTACATGTTTTGGGAGTGGCCCTTACCCGCGACATGTTTGGATAGCATGATAGTGTATGGCTCAAGATTCTTTTCCCATCTTTCTCTTTCAAATGTCATATATTTCATGGTTGAGTTGAGTGACAATTTTCCAACCATACCCCTGACATTTGGGTTTCAGAAGCCTACAACTGGTAAAAACTGGTAAAATGTGGGTCGGTAGCCCCATGTTTTTCAGCACCCTGCAGGTCTTGGTCAGGTTCGTGCTGTACCTAGATGTCAGCGAGCAGGTGATGGAGGCCTGATTCAAAGTCACACACATAACATGTGTACAATGTATATATATATATAATATATATATATATATGATATATGTGTACATTGTGTGTAGAAAGTGATGATTTGTGATGTCTATACATAATATGTATATACATTATATTATATATGTATATATATATAATATAACTGTATATGTATAATACAATAACGGCAATCGATCTAAAGGTCTTTGTAACGAGTTTTATTTGCGAAGACCGTTCATGTTATGTTGGGAACCCTCGCGGATTTTTTTTTTTGAGTTCGCGAAAGTAACATTTTTATTCGCGAAAGTTTCGCGAAAGTTGGATATTATAATCATTATGTAAAGGGCTGCCACCCACTTCCGCCCGGGGTCCGGCAGGAGAAGGGCACCGGAGAATTTCGGTTTGGTTCTGGTTCAGTTCCCTGTGTGGTGGTGCTTTTGGACAATCACCTTGCCCTTCATAGGTAGCAGCCGAGCTTCCAAAGGTGAGGCTTCGCAACAGCCAAACACCATGGTCCTGAAGCACATCCTTGCACCTGCCGCTGTCACTGCCTAATGATGCTTTTTGAAGTCTCAAGAAACAAGTGAGGCTTTTGCGAGAGCCAAACACCAAGGCCCCTGGTGTTCGCTTTTCCTTCAATGCGCCCCCTGCTGATGGCCGGGGTCTGTGAATAGGGATGTTTTCGCGAAAGTTCCGCGAAAGTTCTGCGAAGGAGCGGGCGAAAGTCAAAGTGCATGTTGAAGGGGGTGGGTCAGTAAACCTTGCAAAAAAACCTAGTCAGCAACAATCTGTCCTGAGAAGGGATTCCGTCATGCTAGCTGCATGTTTAAAAGGCTATCAAGAAGTGATCCGCGATTCTCTTGAACGAATCTTCATAAGAGGCGTTGTTGCCCAACATGGGCCCCGCGAAAGATAAATGTGGAGTTCGCGAAAGTTTCGCGAAAGTAACATTTTTTTTTCGCGAAGAATGGCCGTCTGCGGTTAAAGGAATTTTAAATGTATATGTATATGTATATGTACATGTATATGTACATGTATATGTATATGTATATAGGATATTGTAGGATATAAGACACCGGTTCTCATCCCTACCTATATGGTTTGTATAATCCTATGTCAATATACAAATTAAAGATACATCTGGATGCATAGGCATAGACGCAGATGTCAGTGTGGAACACGATTCGGTGTCAGGCCCGGCTATTGGAGCGTGGCAAGACGAGTGGCAGAGCTGATGACAACATCGAGTGACTCAGCGAAACTCCCTGGGGGTTTCCATCGATGGGACTCCTATAAACGGATGGTTTATAACGGAAAATCCCATTAAAATGGATGACTTCGGGGTACCCCTATTTTCCCTCCTACTTGAGCTGGTGCTGTCGACATCTTTGGACTCTGTTCTTAGGTCCATTCGGAAGCGATTTTTGACCTTCCACAAGGCACGGGCCTCGATGCAGCGATGACCTGGAAGAAATTCTCCGCCAGGAGTCGATGCCAGTCGTGGAGCACTTTCAGAAGAAGGGTCGGGTGAGAAGGAGCGGAGCAGCGGAGCTTTATAGCACCAGGCAATCTTTTTGGATCGTGTGGATATTCCAAATATTTAACCGCTTTCGGCGTCTTTCGCCGGCCACCATGGAAAGAGCTATCCTGTAAGCTGCAAACAGCCCTTGCACACACCCAGCAAGAACATGGTTTTTGTGTAAAACATGGTGTTTGTGGATAACACAGTATTTGTGTAAAACAGTTCTTTGTGTAAAAGAGGGTTTGGACGCAAAAACATTTGTTTTGTTCAAACCACGGTTTAAGTTTAAACCAAAGCATGTGTGTAAACCAGGGTTTTGGACAAGGCCATATTGAGAAAGGCTATGGAACAGGCAATATTTAGAAAGATTATGCGTGTAAAAGGTGTTCGGCACAAAAACCAGTGGATCAAGTATTGGATAAAAGAAGCGACGGAGCAAACCAATGGCAGACACGACAAAAAAGAACGGAAACAATGATCGAAATGATAACAATATGTGCAAAACCAAGCCGGTGTTGATCGAGGCGTGGGCAGAGTTGAGCCCACTACAACGTAAGGAAAGATGAAGACGAAATGAAGAGCTAGGTGGGGGGGTCAACTACGAACAAGCAAGATCCACAAGACACGCCGGCAGGCCGGCGGATTGAACAGCTGGGAATCAAGTAAGAAACAACTCTAATTTTTGTTTGGCCTTTGGCGTTTCATATGTTTCATTTCAAAATATTGGTGTCAATCGAGGATCGACGCAGAGCAGCATGCAGATGCGGTCTGGAGAGACGTGCAGGCTCTGGGAACATTTCCAGAAGCGAAGTCCCTGACTGAGGTTCAGGTTGTTTTTTTGCAAATTTGCCAGATCCCTACAGTGGGATCCTGAGAGAGAGAGATATATATATATATATGCACATACACACATATACATTTACAAATATCATATACACATACATATGTCTATATATATATATACACATACAGATACAGATACATATACATATACATACACATATACATATACAGATACAGATACAGATACATACACATACACATATACAGATACATATACATATACATACACATACACATACACATACACATACATACATACATACATACGTACGTACGTACGTACGTACGTACATACATACATACATACATGTATACATGTATAAACGTACACACACACACATATGTATATATATATATATACATACACAAATATATACGCATGTAAAAAAAATCAGGTCAAATTTGATGGTACTTTGTACGGACCAGACATCCAGAGATGGTAAATGACAGGGTCATTCCAATGGAACTTTGGCGCTGATATCGGGATACTTACTGCACACACATGATATTATATGAACACACATCATGCATACAAATCGTATGTATGAACTATGCATTATGTGATATTGTACATGTAAATATGTGCTCAAACCTATCTATATATCTGTCTGCCTGTTTGTTTGCCTGTCTGTCTATGAATCCATGTATCCATCTCTCCATCTATTACACATGGATTTAGACATATGTACATTTCTACTTCTAAGCGCTTCTTCCTTGTCATCACATGCTTGGGACCACCATGGACGCAGGTTCTGTTCGGCCCCTCCGTGGTCTTCGTGCTGGGTGGCCCTGGTGCCGGCAAAGGCACACAGTGCACCCGCATTGCCGCAGGGGCACCCAGGGGCACCCAGGGGCACCCAGGGGCACCCAGGGGCACCCAGGGGTACCCCAGGGGTACCCCAGGGGTAGCCAGGGGTATTGGAGTTCACCAGTTTGAGCGCACGATCATCCCACTTAACTGGTCACTAACCTTGGTCAATAAGTCTCCCGGGTTGTCCCATGGCTGGGTGAGTTCCTAACCCGAGTTTCGAGTCACTAACCAGTTCCACTTACGAAACTCGTGGATCCTCCAAGTGAAATTAAGTGGTGGAGACTGGTTAGTAACAGTTTAGCAACTATTTGATTTGTCACTAATTGAGGAGTCACTAACCTAACCACTGACCAACTGAAGCACGGTGAAATCTGAGGAGACCTTTGGTTACATCCATTTGAGTGCTGGCGACCTCCTCAGAGAGGACAGCCGCAATGGTGGAGCTGTCACCAAGAATACGCATGGAACACCAAAAAAAGTGTAGAATATATATATATATATAAATATGATAGTGTATGTAGATAGGTGGATAGTCAGTTTGTTAATTAGTGGATTAGTTAATTGCTTGCGTACAGTTGTAGTCTAGACACATCATCATCATGTATTAAAGATCACCAGACTTTTTTCCGGCAAAGTGAGCTGAGGGTACCCTGTGTAAGCGGGTGAATGGCTGGGGACTCGGTAGACTCGACAGGAGAGAAATCGTGAAGGCTCAGAGTATGGGGAGCTGATCAACAACTACATCAAGGCACCAACTGGAAGTGGATTTCCCGCAGCTTGCGCTCTCATCGATGTTGGCCGAGTTGTGCATCCGAGCAGAGCTACGAGCTTGGTTTTCAATGGCTTTCAAACTTTCCCTTCCAGCCCCAAGAACGAGAAAATCATCCTAGTTGACACTCATATTTTTGCAAACAAGGTGGCTGAAAGCAGCCAGTGCGAGAAAATTCGGGTATAAATTGGTGGTGAGAGTCCTGCCTTTTTCTACCAATAATTCATGAATCTTTGGTGCATATTGAGATAAGTTCCGGCAATTAAACATGGCAACTGAAAATTCATAAAAAATCAGAGTTCAATAGGAAACAAGGGAAACTCAAGTATATATTAATATAAATGCTAAATTTTCCATTGCCATGTTTGATTAGCTGAGATCTGCCAGGAGGGCAAGCTGGTCCCTGTGGAGATTACCATCAAACTCCTGAAGCAGGTGCAGGGAGCCGTTCCTGCTTTTGCTGTGTGCATCAAAGATCGCCCTTGACTCCCTTGCCCTTCCACCAGGCCATGATGAAGTTTGGCTGGGAAGGTGGCAGGTGACCAGCGGGTCTGGTCAACTCTTGGAACCATTTTGGACAACATTTCGGCCAAAATCTGCACCATTTTTTTGGGGGTTGACTCAGTTTGACTAGACCAATGCTTTTGCTAGCGCAGATCAAATTTGCAGATCTCCGATCTCGGAATACTGTCTCTGGCAGTGGCAGTGTTGTCAAGACTTGTCAAGTTGATTCCCAAACGACTCCAAGCTGTGTGGATGCTGTGCGGATGCTGTGGGGACCTGGAGGTACCTGGTTGATGGCTTCCCGCGGAGTTTTGACAATCTCCGGGGCTGGGAGGAAGTCATTGGCAACACCGCAGGAGCCTTGGTGCGGTGTGTCTCAATCGATCCACTAGACTGGTGATTTTAGGAGCATCCGTATTTTTTTTGGGGAACTGTGAGCCACTGTGAGCCAGACTTCATCTGCAGTGTTGTCAATGATACCAAGG